CAAAACAGAAATTTTTTCGGTCAGAAATGACCGAAGAGCACCTGTGCCAGGTGTAAACGGGTATCCATTCAAATGACACTTCTGTATTGTATGGAGGTCTCTGCAATGAAAGAAAAAAGTAATTGTATTTTTATTATAACTCAGACATTATAACTCAATTGAGAGTTTATATCCCGCAATTCTGACTTTTTTCCTTCTGTTATGAAGTCAGAATTGTAAGACAACTGGCAAACAAGAGAAACAGTTTACAGAATTGAGATGTAACAGAATTGAGATATTAGAAGTGAGATGTAACAGAATTGAGATATGAGGGGTAAACTCCTAATTGCGAGATATAAATGAACTCACGATTGTGAGGAAAAAAAGTCAGAATTGAAAAAGATTAAAAAAAATTATTCTGAGGTGGAAACTTCCATAATTATATACAGGGTTTTGGAAAAGTATGGAATTTGATTTGAGTAATTTCCAGGTCTGGAAAAGTATGGAAAAAGTGAATCAGAGTATGGAAAAATATAGATGTTTCCAGACTATTGTACCTATTTCGTTTTCTAAATATAAAATTAATCACTTCTAAATGTATATAATATGCAATCGTCTTTTTCATGGCGTTTGGATTTGGCTGCCAGCGAGCGCTGCCTAAAGATCGTTTTTACACTTGATCTGCCAGAGTCTAGGTCTGCAGTGATTGGTTGTTACGTTGTTAGGCAGCAGTTGCCATCACAGCGCCCCTACCTCAAACAGAGTTTTACTAAACATCTTTGACTTTGACATCTTTGACTAAACAACTAAACATGACTTTAGCTCTATTTTCTAATTTTCTGGTTAATTGTACATGAACATCCCTTTTGTTTCTGTAGGGGTTTACAGTCATTTAAATGTACAAAATTACAAAAATGAACAACATTGCACTGTACAAATGTACAAATTTAACATGAGCATAGCATACACATTTTGACTCGGAGTGTAACATACTTGTCGGTGCTGATAGCATTGTGGCAAAGTGCGCCACCATGTACCGCCGTTGTGCTTCAGGATCGTCTGTCTACTTTCCTATTCTAATAAAATCCAAAAACGCCAATAATAAATCTTTGGAATGTAACATACTTGTTAGCAGTTGAATTTTAAAACAATTTATTAGAACAAGTTAAAGGCACACTTCGCAGTAATTCCGTTTTTGTCAAACAGCGACCCCTGGAGTCGCCGTGGAGTCCTTGTGACGTGTTACTTACTGTAGTATACATTAGTACATTGTGTTTAATTAGTCGTTTAATGAGATCTAATATATGTTGTTAGTGTTGAGAATTTTTCACGTTAATAAATGCATAGATCCGACTCGGTCCAGTGGCAGAACTTTTGCCAAGCGTGTCAGAGGTTCTGGGTTCTAATCCGCACGAAGCAGTATAGTTTTTTTCCCTCATCAAAAACGATTGTTTATTGGTGGTTGTATATCAAGCAGGGACACATTTTTTTGTGCATTAGGTTTTGTGTAACAAACATAGAGAGTCTCTCCACAACAGATTGAAGTGTGCGTCCGTGTGAAGGCTGTGCGAGTCACAACAGAACACTGTCTCCACGCTACTGATCGCAGCGGCAACGAGCACTTTGGTCACTTGATTTCAAAAACACATTTCAGATCGCCTCTTATTTAACAAACGAACGAAATGAATGCTCGCGGGGGGTGAGACGACCTCCATTCAACCAGAAAGAAGTCATATAATCATTCCAATAACTCCAAAGCTGTTCAGTTCAGCTACAAAACCTGCATAGTTCCCCTTTAAATATTTTCGGAAAAATCTGTTTGAGGTCTGGAAATTTGAGTCTGGAAAAGTATGGAATTTTGAAATGGAAATTGTGTAGGAACCCTGTATATACTACTTTTAAGTTTTACTGCTGCGAATTAAACAATAATTTTCCCTCTTGCTGCAGTTTTTGAGATCATCCTAGCATTCCTGGAGAAACGAGACTGGCAGGAAGCTTTCTTTACGGTTTTGCCACAGAGGAAGGGAGCTGTGCCAGTGGGCCAAGAGGACAAGCTCGGAGAGGGCAATGATGAGGAAGACTCTGATGAAGACTCGGATACAGAACAGACAACCTCAGAAAAGGGAACGGACTCAAAGGACCAAGAAGAGCACAAACCTCTGCTAAACCAATCAGATTCCTGCGAGCGAAACACGGCATAGAGAGACGTAACATATTTATGCCATTTCATCTTTTTTTTTTTTTTTGCTAATTTTTATTTGTTTTTTTTTTCTTTTAGTTTAACATCTCAATTTGAGGTTTGAGATGGTGTGGACTTGAAGGTGTTTTTGTCGAAACATTTCATGAGAAAAAAAAAATTAGAAAGTACCTTTTTTTCAATCTTTTCCATTAAAAAACAAGCAACAAACACTGATGTGTAGATACTGTGAAAAGAAATAAACAATTACAATATTACTTGTTTTTAGAACAATCCGCCTTTTATTTTATTTATTATTAACCAGATGATGTAGAGAAGATTTGCTATGTCATCCTAAATTGCATTCCTATAATGAAAAGGATAAATGACTAAATAATGTGTTTTGATTATCTGAGAAACAGAGTTTGCGTATTAGCCGTTTTTGATGTTCTGCCACAGTGGGATTTGTGGGCCAAGAGAACAAGCTCGGACACGGCAAGACTCCCGATCCCAGAAAAGAGACCAATCAGACAGCAAAAGGGAGGTACACAAAACTCTGTTAAACCAATCATATTCCAGTGAGAGGGAAATAACAGGTTGGGCGAAACTTGATATTCAGTCTCTTTTTGCCAGTTTTGTTCAGTTTAAGTTTAATGAAATCTCACATGTGTTTGGATGTTCTTGTTGAGGCAAATTTGAAATGTAACACATATGAATGTAGTGATGGTCTACACACATACTATGTTTGATCTATTGTAGGGCTGTCAAACGATTAATCGCGATTGATCTCATCCAAAATAAAAGTTTGTGTTTACATAATATATGTGGGTGCACTGTAATTATTTTATATATATAATACACACACATACTTGTATATATTTAAGAAATATTTTCATATATATACTGTATATAGATTTATATATAATTTATTTTATATATAAATCTATATTTTATATATAAATAAAAACATTTTTTTTTCTTAAATTTACATGCATGTGTGTGTGTGTGTGTGTATATATATATATATATATATATATATATACACACACACACACACACACACACAAAATCATTATACACAGTGCACCCACATATATTATGTAAATACAAACTTTTATTTTGGATGCGATTAATCGTTTGACAGCCCTACTTCTAACACTATAGTAATAGACCAAAACGTAGAGGGCATTAATGTAGAGTTAAATGTTAAAATATTGATTATTGTGAATCAATCTAATACATAAGTGTGTAACATGCTTCATGCTTTTGAAAACTACTCAAATTGTCCCCTAGATGTCACTATACACATACACTTGGTTTCATCACTTATCTAATAAATATCTTATATATATATATATATATATTATACACGCATATATTATACACACACATATATAATCAATATAAGATTTTTTTTTAAAAATCTCTTGCAGTTCTTGATTCAGTTCAGTTTTATCTCTAATTCTTTTCACAATAAATCTTGATTTCTTTAATTAAATATTTTTTTCTGATATTTTCTATTTCTCCATTTAATAACTGTTTCACAATATTAACACAGCATTACAGATAGCAAAACACTTAATAGTAGTATTAATGTGTTAAACTTTTAATTAATTAAAATTAAATTAAAGAGGCTGCATCAATGAAAATTTGTGGACATTTAGGTCACTCAATCTTATACAATCATGGACTGAGATGATAATCACAGTGTGTTGTCTTTATGAAAGCTTTCTTTATGGTAAATAACTCTTTTTCGACTCGAACCCTGGTTTGGAACGCTACTCCGTTAAAGACAGCAGAAGTGCCCGGGGCTTTAACTGTTTTCAGGAGGGAGAACAGGTTTACAGTTTTGGTGCTTGCTTTCCATCAAGACAGGAATGCAACTAGATACATTACATGGCAGTTCAGGTTAGATCCAAGATAAATAACCATGTTGCCATTCAGGACACATTCAAATTATGTCAAAAGTTAATCATATATGCTGTATAGTAGCTCATCCCACATGGTTTGATTCCTAAAAGCTTATTGGATACTAGGAAACGGTCTGGTTTCACAGACAAGGCTTAGATTAAACCAGGATTAGGCCTTAGTTAATTGTAATGAAAAAACAACATTACTGGTGTGCGTCTTGAGACAAAACAATGGCACTGACATATTTTCAGAAATATCTGTGCAAGTTGCTTTCAGTTAAAGAATTAGTTCACTTTAAAAAAAAAACTTTTGCTGATAATTTACTCACCCCCATGTCATCCAAGATGTCCACGTCTTTCTTTCTTAAGTCGAAAAGAAATTAAGGTTTTTGATGAAAACATTCCTGGATTTTCTCCATATAATGGACTTCAATGGGAACCAAACGGAAAAACTGTCTTATCGGTCCCTTCGAATCATGACTCGAAAAGATTTGTTCATTTTGATGAACGAGTTTGAAAAGCAGAGTCACAAACGCGCATCACAGAACAGAGCAAGGCGAGCAATGTGCTTATAAAACTTAAACTCTTTTTATTTATTTTTTAAATGACCGATCGTTTCGCTAGATAAGACCCTTATTCATCATCGTCTGGTGTCGTTTAAAGCCCTTTGAAGCTGCATTGAAACTCTCATTTGGACCTTGAACCGTTTGGTTCCCATTGAAGTCCATTATATGGAGAAAATTCTGGAATGTTTTCATCAAAAACCTTAATTTCTTTTCGACTGAAGAAAGAAAGACGTGGACATCTTGGATGACATGGGGGTGAGTAAATTATCAGCAAAAGTTTTTTTAAAGTGAACTACTTAAAGTGAGCTCAAACATGCATTTTAGTCCAGGATTAAGCCTGGACTAAAATTTTACCTTGCCTGTAAAATCAGGGGTAAATGTTTTAGAACAATGTCTTGCTGCTGAACCAATGAAATTACATTAGGAACATTCACTTTAAGGGAAAAAAACACCCTAAGTTATATCTATAGATCTTGTATAAGACAGTTTTCAAAAGGATCAATATTTATTTAGGCTAGATTTTTTTTGGCGTAATATCAATGGCGTAATATGGTGTCCCAGACTAAACGGTTTTTCACAAAACATTAGGGGCAATAATCTCCAGATAACCACGTGAGCTCGGCAATTAAAGATCCCAAGCGATTAAGCAATTAGACAATATTAAACCAGCTTGATTGAATCATCCGATTGGGAAGAAACACCCGGATTAAAAACTGGAAAGTTGAGTTGCGCGTAAGAACATGTGCGCGACTGCGCAATACAGAACTGTCTTCTCCAACAGGTGCCTTTCCTGAGAGATCTGCTCTCTCACAGCTATTTCTCGGCACAACAACAATGGAAATACTTTGTTTTCCCTCCTAACATGTCGTAGATCTTAAAATCGAAAACACCTTAAACTGGAGTAAAAACTTTTGTTCGCTCACTTGAGGATTTACGCATGGAGAAATGTTCACTTTTATGGATATAATCCATAAACATTTTATTAATTGATATCGTTTCCTCTTTCTTTCTTTCTTTTTTTTTGTAGGCTACTTCAAATGAATAAGTCGATATATCTCAGATGCTAAACACAGAGTGATTTTGTTTTTCTGCACTGGATCTCCACAACGTGATCTTCATTATATATGGGAGTCTCCTTTCCTCTTCTCCAACATCTATGATCGATTGGATTGATTGGGAATACAACTACCCCCTTGACAGGGACACTGTTCTGATCTTTTAATAATGACCATCACATTGAGATCGCCAAACTGATAACTTGGGCTCAAGGTGAAAGTCTGAACTGGAGGACGATATGAAGACAGTTTCATATATTCTTGCTGCGATGATCTTCTGGAACTCAGGTGAGCCATTTCATATTTCATATAGGGCTACATTGCGGGTGCAACTGTAAATGTTTAAAAACTTGTTGTAGGATTTGGAGTTAAACTTATTGGGAAAGAACTTCACAACACGTTACGGTTGTCTAATATTACAGGAAGAACTGGTTCTTGTGACAAACTGAGTGTGATTCAGTGTGACAGACAGGCGCTCCCTGCTCACGCGCGCGCGCACTGTGTGTTGAAGGCTACGCAGAGTCTTAAGGAGTGTTTTCTGGGCTGATCATGTTGTGAGAATAAGGGTGTGATGAATCTAAGGGTGTTGTCAACGTAAATTACATTTTTTCACTTATTTTCCCGGTGTGTATGAGCTGTTCATACAGCTATGTGTGTTAATTCAGGGTCAATTGGTCTAAGCAAAGCTGATTAATACATTAACACCGTGTCTATACCAGACGCGGGCGGCGCGACGGGACAAAAGCAAAGAGAACCCATTCAAGTAATGCGACGCGACAAATTCCTGACATTAAACTGACGCCCGCGTGCACTCACAAGCACTCGCCCTATTTCTGAAAGGAAGGACAAGTTCGTTTGCAATGCTCACTATAGCGACAGTTTGGGCAGATCCTCCTATAGCGTCTGTGCAACATGGTTTAAGACAGTTCCCTGCATCACCATCCTTTGCTGGCCCTTGAGCAACATTTCAGTCATGAGTTATTGCACTCTGATGTTAAAGGGATAGTTCACTTTGAAATTAATTGTTGGTATGTTTTAGCTTACCTCAAGGCCATCCAAGATGGTGTCTTTGCTTCCACAGTATTTTCAGTTTTGATATTTTTAGGACAAACCGTTGGTGTCTGTCAGTCATATAATGGAGGTCTATGGTCACCACCTCAAAGAGCATGCACAGAGAAGTCCTAATTAAATATGATTCAATGACTCATAAATGTAAGTACAAATTGATGGCCCAAGACACTAAACGAGCGGTTTAAGTGAGAAAATTAACTAAAAAAAAATGATATCGTTTTTACCTTTTGTAACCACATCCACAAAGCGCCCGCGCCCTCAGATTACTTGGACGTGGCTGTGGTTACAAGAGGTAAAAACGATATAAATACTGTTCATTTTCTCACACAAACCACTCGTTTTGTGTCTTAGGCCATCAATGTGTATTTACATTTATGAGTCATTGAATCATGTTTAATTTGGACTTCTCTGTGCATGCTCTTTGAGGTGGTGACCATAAACCTCCATTATATGACTGACAGACAAGAACGGTTTGACTTAAAAATATCAAAATTGAAAATAGTGCTGAAACAAAGACACCTACATCTTGGATGCACTTGAGGTAAGATAAAACATATCAAAAATTAATTTCAAAGTGAACTATCCCTTTAAGAGTTTAGGGTTAGGACCTTCACTGTAAAAAAATATGTTCATGATTTGTAATCACATAATTTTTTCTTTTGTCAAATCATCTTAAATAATTAATGTGGTTCAGATAACATAATATTTTGAGTTTCTGATGATTAAATCATTATCCTTCATTGTATTAACTCAATTTTTACATTTCAATGATCTTAAAAATTTAAGGCAACAAGGTTACTTAATTTTTTAAGTTAAACCAACAATATTTGTCCAGTGTTGAAAACATTCCATTCAACTAATAATTTTGACATTTGAGATTAATAATGTTTTTTTATGATCCATTGGCCATTATTTTCTGACATTCAGAATCAGATTTTTTTTAAATTATTGTAAGGCACTTAATAATCTGTTTCTCTTGACAAACAGTCCTATATGACCGATTTTATGATAATTTTGGTCATTCTGACATTATTTCTGCTTTTTGGACACAATGGCTAAATTATCATTATATCCTTCGTTGTTAATGCTTTTATACATAAAGCATGCTACATTATTTTGTCATCTAGATGATTGCTAGAGAATAATTGGCTGTATGTATATAATATATCAGTTGACCTAATATTTAAGATTACAGATTAATAAAGTGTTAATGTTAGTAGAAAAATCAGCATTACTCGAGATTTGGGAACACATTCATATTCACATTATGATTCTAGTTGCTTATGGCTGTTTATTAGTACATATAATGCCTTATTCTGGATGACCATATTCGAAATCCCTTATGCCATTCCTAAACTTAACTTCCCAACTATTAATAAGCAGTGGGAGTTTATTGAGGGAAAACTCCTATGTGTTCCCTAATCTAAAGTGTTATCAAAACATCAGTCAAATGAATTAGGTCTGATTTAAGGCTAGCATTAGGCAACAAATAACACCCACTATAAGGATGCTGACTCCGAAACATGTCATGTTGTGTGACACATGCAGTGACAGAGGATATCATATGTCTGGGAGGCTTTTGTCATTATGTTGTTCATTGATGTAATCCTCTAGTCTTTGCAAACTATAGTCAAATGACTGTTGTGGCCTCATGGTCAAGGATCTGGGCTACAACACAAAGTTAAGTGACTCAGAAACTGAAGAGTTAAAGGGATTACAGTCCAATCCCAGCCCTGAACTGAGAAGCTATTAAGTGTGGAGTTAACAGACCTTTTTTATTTCACACTTTTCATCCCTGAGTACATATCAGACTGCAAATTACAATAAACAATGTATTATTCATAAATAAGCCCAATCAACATGATGTCGGCATTGTATAAACAATTAATAATAGTTTAGACATCATTATCTAAACTATTTATTCAATATTAATAAGTATATATACATTTTTATTTTAGTATATTATTTTATTAAAATATTAGTGCTGTCAAATCGATTAATCGCATTTGTGTTTATATTGTGTATGTGTGTGCGTGTGTGTGTATATCTACACATATTTATGTGTGTATATCTATTATCCACATATACACACACACACAGCTATATTATATAACAAACGTTTATGTAAGATGAGACTGATCAATTTGACAGCACTGGCTTTTCTATTTAAAAGTAAAATCAGCATGTATTGAAAGTAGTCCAGCTTATATTCACTCATGTTCTTTGGATATGTGTTGAGTTGAGTGTTTGCTTGCGCTTGTTTGCCACCCAAAAGTAATTAGCCCTGAGACATATAACAAGTTGAACAGCATATCTACCCATGGTCCACACTCCACCAGACATCTGTCTGTCTCTCACCCCTCTTCCTTTCTCTTATTTTTGCTATCCATATCGATTCCCATCATGTCTGCTTCTCCTCTCTGTTCTCTGTGCCAGTTCAATAGAGTGTTAAAAGATGAAAGGTTCATGTTACCACCGTGTTGAAGGTAACCGATGACCTCAGCCGATGTGGCCCAACTTTCCTTTTACTGCTGGTATGGCTCATGCAGGTATATCTCTATTAGAGGTGTTATTTCTGTTCTTTTTAAAGCCTTACTTGAACCGCATTAAGCTGTATGATAAATGGCGTATTGGTTTTTGGTCTAGACCTTTAAAACCCAGGATGTGATGTCACAGCTATGAGTGTTACAAGGAACTTACTTTTGTGAATTTTTCTTCTTTCATACAACATGCAATGTCATAATAAGTAATTTAAATAGATAGTTTTAAATCGGGATTGTCAACAAAACTGCCAGGGGGAGGAACTTCAAAAATCGAATAGTATGAAGTATATATATATATATATATATATATGAAGAGTTCAGATGCAAAAGCCTCTAAATGCCATTTGAAATTTTCTTCTTTAATGATGATTTTTATCAAACTTGTATATTTAAGTTCAGTAATTTCACTTAAATAACAATTAATAGGTAATTATCATTGCCATTTAAGTGAAATCACTGAACTTAAATATACAAGCTTGATAAAAATGATCATTCTAGAAGAAAATTTCAAATGGCACTTAGAGGCTTTTGCATCTGAACTCTTCATATATAGGCTATGTCTACTGGCTACTTTTATAGCCTACACCTTGTTAGTAGGTTGGACCCAAATTTGCCTTCAGAATTGCCTTATTCCTTCATGGCACAGGTTTAACAAGGTGCTGGAAACATTCCTCTGAGATTTTGGTCTATATTGACATGATAGCATCATGCAGTTTCTGCAGTTTCTACATTCGTGATGTGAATCTCCTGTATCACCACATCCCAAAGCTGCTCTATTGGATTGAGATCTGGTGAATGTGAAGGTCATTTGAGTTTAGTGATGTCAACCAGTTTGATCTGCAGGAATTAGGCATCAGAAGTTGTGTAAACTGTGGTCATATAGCCTATGGATGGACATGATCTGCTATAATACTCAGGTAGGCTGTGGTGTTTGTGATGCTCTGGCAATAAGGTCGCCAAAAGAGTGTCAAGAAAATGTCCCTCACACCATTACCAGCCTGAAGCATTGATACAAGGCAGGATGATCGATGCTTTCGTGCTGTGTAAGTTATGCCAAATTCTGTTATCTCAATGTCACAGCAGAAATCCAGACTCATCCGACCAGGCACCGCTTTTCCAATTTTAGTGGTCCAGTTTTAGAGAGCCCGTGTGAAGTGTAGCCTCGTCCTAACTACACGCGACGCGATGTTATTCCAGCGACAGCAAGTGTGTCTATCCACACGCTACGCGACGCGACTGTGAGACGCCACACGTCAATCAAAATCCAAAGCCATTCAGCCTCGCATTGAAAACGGGTAAGGACATGATCAAATAAAGAAATAACATTATTAAAAATCAAAAAATTAACAAAATATAGGCCTACTCATTGACTAATTTTGTTATGAAGTAGCCTACAGTTGTATGTTTGCATAGAATTCACTTTGAACGCTATATTATATGCTTTCAAAATCTGAGGTAAATTATCTATTATCGCTTGTGGCACAGTGACCTATTTTACCTAAAATTAAATAATGTGTAGGCTACTCATAACCAGTGTAATTTCTTCATTCTGTCAGCCGCGACGTCGCAGAAATAGGAAGCGTTTCTAAATTAGAAACTTTGCGTGTCGCCGTCGCTTCTGGTTAGGACAGAAAAGATTACGCGTGTCGCGGCGTCGCGTCGCGTGAAGTTAGGACACGGTGTCAGTTTCTGTTCTCAGCTGACGGGAGTGTGTGTCTTCTGCTTCAAGGTTGGACGTGTTGTGCATTCAGAGATGTTTTTCTGAGACCTCGGTTGTAACAAGTGATTATTTGAGTTACTGTTGAACCAGTCTGGTCATTCTCCTCTCTGACCTCTGACATCAACAAGGCATATTCCCCCACAGAACTGCTGCTCACGATGTAGACTCTTTATGTAGTCTCGTCATGCCATTCCCTGTTAACCCCAGAGATGGTTGTGTGTGAAGATCAGCAGTTTCTGAAATACTCAGACCAGCCCGTCTGGCACTCATGCCATGTTCAAAGTCACTTAAATCATCTTTCTTCCCCATTCTTATGCTCAGTTTCAACTTCAGCAGATCGTTTTGACCTAGGCTGCATCCGAAACCGAAAGTTGGTCAGGTGTAGGCCTACCTAAGAAAGCGGCCTGTGTGTGTGTGTGTATCACATAATATTAAATATATATATATATATATATATATATATATATATATATATAGAAATATAATCACTGCTCTTCCACCAAATCTTGCACTGTTTATGGTTAAAACATAATTCAAATGATGCACTATCCAATCAAAGTATAATTATATATAATGTTTATCAAACAACTTCGCTCATCCAGTTGAATTTGTTTCTTTTGCTGTTTCTTTTTGCTGCAGAATTGTGTTAACGCCGCGACTCTATCTTCCTCTCTTTCAGCAGCCTGTGTAAGTGGAGAACAAGAACCGTTTCTTGAGCCCCCTACGAGCCCATGGGATCTGCACTCTTTGGGAGAGGAGGAAACACGTTTACCCTGTCGATTCAATGTGTCGGCCAGTGAGACTCAGGTGGTGCAGGTGTCGTGGATTCGACACAACTCAAATGGAGCTGAAGAACAGATTATCACTGTTAATTTCAACGAAGGACAGATAGGTAGGACAAACTCCTTTTTTTGTCTTTTACATCGCAGATATCAAAACTTAAATTGTTAGACTTTTTTGGTAACAAATAATTGACCCTTTGCTTTTACTAATATTATTAAGTACGGAAACATATTGCATCCACTTGAAGAAAAATAATCTACTCTGTTTTTCTGAATTAACGAGTTAAAGGGTTAGTTCACCCAAAAATGAAAATTCTGTCAGTATTTACTCACCATCATGTTGTTCCAAACCTCTATGTGTTTATTTGTTTTGCTGTACACAAAGGAAGATATTTGGAAGAATGTTTTAATCAAACAGATCTCATTCCCCATTGACTACCATTGTAGGAAAATATACATACTAGTCAATGGGGAATGAGATCTGTTTGATTAAAACATTCTTGATGAGGGTGAGTAAATACTGACAGTATTTTCATTTTTGGGTGAACTAATCCTTTAATTATCTCAGAATTACGAGATCATTTTTCATGGAAAAAAGTTTTTGCTCTGTTTTTCTGATTTAACGAGTTAATTATCTCCGAATTACAAGATCATTTTTCTCTGTTTTACTGAATTAATGACTTCTCTCAATCTCAAAAACTCAGAAATTCAGAAAAACAGAGCAAAAACTTTTTTTGCATGAACAATTATCTCGTAATTCTGAGATAATTAACTTGTTAATTCAGAAAAAAGTGAATGCAATACGCTTCCGTACCAAAGAAAGCTTTTTTTTCTAAATTGTTTGATTAAAATTAAAATGGTGCATCAGGGTGTTCATAGGTTATGCTACATGTTTCAAAATCTGTGACAATATGTTTAAAAGTGAACATGGGTTCAAGTAATATATCTCTCTTAAAGATAAAGATTCTTCATTGGCATTAGCGTTTCCGTGAAGAAAATTTAACGTCCAAGGAATCTTTCCATTGCACAAACGATTTTTATACTGGAAAAAAGGCTTTAGTTTATAAAATGTTCTCAAAAATAAGAAAAAATGGTTTCTTACTGAAAGGTTCTTTGGGGAACCATTTTTTATGCCAAGTCTGGCTATAACTATCTTCTTTATAGGGAGCTCAGAGTCATTTCAAGAACGGACTTAGCTAAATAGCATTACGGTTTTAGCTCCGAATTTGTACCAGCTCTGCTCTTCCTTGAATTTAGCAATGTAACTATACCTGTACTGTATGATTCAGTACTTACTTTCATTTCTGTACTCATCTTGCATTCATTTACATTGGGGGGAAAAAAAACATTTCCTTAATGATTCAAAGTGACTTACAATTCACTTTTGTAAAGAAACATGCATTTTACAAAAAATTATAATACAGGAGCTAACAGAGCAGAATATTGATTCTTTAATTTTTTGTGCCTCATTCTTTGAAGTGTGTAATAAAGCGGTCGCAAAGCCAAATCTTACTGTCATATGGTGGATGTGACAAACACTTTTAATTCTCTTTCTGTTTCTCTCTCACAGAAAGCCCTGCATATTCAGGGCGTGTGCGATTCGAGACCAACAACCCAATAGCAGACTCTGCTCTGATTATTATGCGCACGAGTTCTGCAGACGAGGGCAAATACACCTGCAAAGTCGCCACCTTCCCCTCTGGAAACTTTGAGACTGTGATTTTCCTCACAGTGTGGAGTAAGTACATTTAACCAGTGCTATAATGGGCAAACAAAAGACAACAAACTTGTGGCATGCAAAACTAAAAGTAATTAATTACTAGCTACTAATTACATCTTCAAGAGTGCAATTGGATTAATTTACTTATTAATCTGCAGTGTTGTGCAAGTTCCAAACTGTAATACATTAGGTATTACTTGCTACTGTTATTTAAAAGTAATTCATTACCTTACAATATTACTGTCTCAGAATTGTAATGCGTTACATTACTCATGTATTACTTTTGAGTTACTTTCACCAAAATAACTAAGTAGAACTTAACTTTGGGGCTGTAACGATATGCAATATGAAACCAAAATCGCGATTCGCTACACGACTCAGATCCACGAACCTACAGAATCGCGACACACCTCTTCCAACTCCAGCATTATTCTCCTTACCGTCCAGATCCAATGCTGCCTTATCTTTAAATTAGGCTATTAGTATTATTTAAAGTTAACATTATAAAATACGTAGACCTACACTACAAAACTAGTTGAGGATAAATTATTTAAAATTGGGTCCAGCATTATGGACATGACATTTGCAGTCAAAACTTGAAATAAAATCTGTTTTATTTTTAATATTAGGGAAAAGACACACATTCATGCGTGACAAAAAAATAGGAGGCAAAATATATTTTTTGTAATTCTGTTAATTACACTGCGCAAATCGGATGAGGAAGGGTTGGCTCTCCAGTCTCCATAGAACTTAAAATATTCATTTTATTTGAGTTTTCGTGTTCGCATTTATGAGGAAAAAACAATGTTACAGACGCGACCGCTCTGAATTGGTACTAAAAGACTGCTTTAAACCTTTCACACAGTCTGTTGCCTTTAAGAAGTAAAAGCAGACAATACACTGTAATACAACTGTAATACAAGCCTCACTGAACATGTAACGAGTAAAATATTACTGAAAAATGATTAGTAATGCCTTACACTACTGCGTTACAGCAAAAACTAATATGTTACTGTAATGTATTACTTTTGTAATGCGTTACTCCCAACACTGTTAATCTGTCTAAAAAGTATTGCATTACTAAAAGTCCCCCTGTAGTCAATAATTATATCCGAAAACTCACCTTTGAACACCAAAATTACATATTTAAAAGTTTTTTTCCTTGAAATAAGTCTTAAAATAGCTTGAATGCAACACCCTTGCCTCATTTAGTATATGTGGTCTATGAATATGCTAATTAGCCCCGCCTCCACTCACTCACACCAGCTCAGAGATCCACTATTTGACGATCACACATTGACATGATTGGTTAAAGGTAGTTTGTGACGTCAGAAACACCAGCGATTTCAAACTGCTTTTTTGAGACCGTCTTTGGTTCACTGCAGTTTTAAAGAGAAAATACTCTGGTGTCGACTTAAAGCATATTAAAACACCACATAGACATATAAACAACATTATAAGCTTGACTGTCACCACAGGGGGACTTTAACAAGATGTCTATCCTTAAACAACACAAGGATAGACATGAAACTGCTCTTTTAAGTCTTTCAAATAAATAATATAAAGTTGCATAAATTATGCAAATGACCAAAGTATTTAAATGAAGAAGGTTACATTAAAAACTTATATTTAACATTTAGGTGTTAAAAATGTTGATTGTTTTATATAGAATTTTTCTATTGTCTGGATCAACATCTTTGCTGATCCTGGAACAAATCAACCAATCAGATTTGAGGTTTACCGTTTATGTCAAGTTTAGGCTTACAACCAGGGTTAGGTGCTTCTACATCAGTGTTATTTACCATCATTTCCCTCTGATTTTAGGAATAACGTATGGTAAGGGTTGGGTTTAGGGGTAGGGATAGGGTTAGGACGACATTTTCAGACAGGAATGTTGTTCCAGGATTAACAAAATATTTTGATGATGACACGGTGACTTACAGTATTTAATGCAATCACATCAGAAATAACTGTAATTAAATTACAGAAAATTAAGAGCAATCCCTTAAATTACTTTTTCAAGGGAAACATAATTAAATGATACATAACTAAGTAACGACGTTTTATTTCAGACATTCACTCCGGTCCATATTCCGGTTAAAGGGGTCATGAACTGGCTTTTAAAAAAATGTTATACTGTTGTCTGAGGTCATCTTATGACTTTCACTTGGTTTTTACATTCAAAAACATCAAAATGAATAAGTAATAGGCTATTTTCTACCCTAGTTTTGAGCCTAGATCAAAAACGCTATGTTTTTATGGGCGTCTCGCATTGAAGACTTGGAAGTTAATGCCCACTGCTGTGATTGGATAAAAGTTTTGCATATTATTATAATGAGTTTTAACTCACTCGCTTATGCAGCGACTGTCTTCTTCCACAACCAGGCACTGCACAATATTTTGTATTGCTCGGTAGCTCGATCCGGTTTGTCATCACGAGGCAGGCCTATGTTATTTAGATATTCGTGTAATGCGCGAATCGGTGGGCGGGGCTAAACCGGCCATGTTGAAGTAGGCGTTGATCTTCTTCTGCGGGGGTGGTGTTTTATCCTCTTTGATGTCATAGTTCCTCACTTTGAAAAATGAGTTGTTTGCTGAGGCTGGTGTCAATAAAAGCTTTTATTGGACTAACAAGGACGTTTTCAGTTCTGAAACTTACATGATATTCTTATAATATGATGACCTCTTAGATGTCAAAAGCTCAAGGAAAATTTGATTTCTCAGTTCATCACCCCTTTAAGAACTGCCCACTTTATACGCCAACGACATGCTTAAAACTGAGTTTTTCCTTCGAGTTTTCCGTGTATAGACAGCACCATTGTCAAAACGATCCCCATTCATGCGGATCCGCGAAAACGACTAAAAAAACTGTATCCTGCTGCCAGGCCATTTGATGGGCCTGAAACACTATAGACTGAACACGTAATACGCATGTGCATGACGTCATTGTTTTTTCGGAATTCACGTTTTCAACTAAAACGAGTTTTCGACTAAACACCATTTTAAACTAAAAACGTAAAAATTTCAAAAACGCAAACTTTTGAAAACGAGTTTCAAAGTGCAAGTTTTTGAAAACAGTCTCTGTGTTAACAACAAAAACGCGAATCTGTGAAAACGATGACGTCATGAACGTGTTAATTCTGTAGTGTTTCATCGCCATCTAATGGCCTGGCAGCAGACTACAGATTTGAGTCGTTTTCGCGGATCTGTGTGAATGGGGATCGTTTTTACAATGGTGTCGTCTGTACGCAGTTTTAAGCATATTATTGTAGTGCAAACGTACCCTTAGATTTGACCGAATTGATTTGAGTCTTATGTAAATGCAGCAACCCTGCAGGAGTTAGTGATGAAGGATTTACCTTTGATTTCTTAACATAACTCTTGTCATTTCATTCATCGTCCCTTTCATATACCTAGACAACCCTTTAACCACAAGGCTAGTGCTGCTTTTATGTATACAGTTACTGTTCTCAGAATAACACACAAGTATTGTGTTTGTCAATGGAAGTGATGATGGAGGTATTAACATGAAAGTGGTCATTGTTGCTGCGATTATATGATCGTACAATAGATGCTGCTTTCTCCTTCAGAAGTATTGTTTATGATTGTGTTCAAGCACACAGTTAGAAACAGGAAAGCAAACAGGGAAGATTTTATACTTTTTAAAAATCAGACACTAGTGAAATATCTGCTGTAATATATAACAAAAGACACTGGAATGAAAACACAAAGAAACTATCTATCATCCGTCCATCTCTCTCTCTCTTATTTATTTGTCATTTTATTTCACAGCTAAACCCATCACTTCCCTGAAGGAGTTCGTCCTGGTTGAGGGCCAGTCGTTCCGTCCGGCCGCTACATGCCGCTCGATGGCTAAACCAATGGCAGGCCTCTCCTGGGACACAGAACTCCCGGGTCAGAGCCAGAACCTCAGTTTGGATGGTATGGTGTCCTCAATCCAGTTTTCCCTCCACCCTCTTCGTAGCATGAACGGACAGAAGCTGGACTGTCTTGTCTGGCATCCATCTCATAAAGGCCCCCAGAGGATCTCCAGTAAACTTACAGTGCACTGTAAGTCTTAATCTCTTATATTGTTCGGAAAATGTTCACTAGTGTAAATACTGGAACTACACACTCGGAAAAAAGGTACAAAAGCTGTCACTGGGGCTGTACCTTTCCAAAAGGTACACTTTTGTACCCAAAGGCTGCATATTGGTACCTTAGTGGTACATATTAGCACCTAAAATGTACATATTACCACCTAAAATGGACATAATAGCTCATGAAATGGACATATTAGCACCTAAAATGCACATTTTAACACTTAAATTGTACATATTAGGACCTAAAATGGACATTAGCTCCTGAAATGTACATATTAGCACCTAAAATGTATATCTTAGCACCTAATGTACATATTACCACCTAAAATGTACTTATTAGCACCTAAAATGTACATATAAGCTCCTGAAATGGTCATATTGGCGCGTAAAATGTACATATTAACACCAAAAATTTCCTTATTAGCACCTAAAATGTACATATTAACACCTAAAATGGACAAAAGTTTACCTTTTGAAAAGGTGCAGCCCCAGTGACGGCTTTTGTACCTTTTTTTTCTGAGATTGTACTGTATAACGGGAGAATCTTATAAAGATCCTGGGCCTGGGTCACAATTGCATCCTTGAATCAAACCAGAAAAAAATGCAAAAGAAAAATGCATAAAAATGTCATTGCATAAACATTTTAGTCTATTTATGTGGCACTCTTGAATTTGTGTTACTGTAATAAAAAAATCATAGTCTCATAGGACGGTAATGAAAATCATCCTGTTCAAACTCACGACATAAAGCATAAATTGTATTAATTCAGTACTAATACTTTCATGTGTACTTTCAATAGTACTTTACAAATAAATTTACTGCTATACACAATTTCAAAATACATATAATTTAATCATATTTTAATATCACTTTGAATTATAGTAAAAAGAACGTTTTTAAAAAAACTCAATTTATATCACTTTATTTAAAATATAATGTCCTAATTTTTAATAAATATTACACTGACATTACTGGAATTGTTCTTGATTTGATTTTTTTTTTTTTAATGTTTATTCATTTTGGCATTCCTTAAGACATATTTTGATGTCCAATCACTATACTTACCAGTGCAAACCACTTGCCAGGTTATACATACAAGCTGTGTATAGTACATTTACTTCAAAATAACTTTAATGTTGTCCTTACTGCAGAATGATTGATGTATTGTTTCACACATCAATCTTTATGACATCGCTGTCTGTGTGTGACTCAGAATGATTGTGAATTTTACAATGTGAACCTAAAACTCCTTTTCCTGTTTACCGCGCTTGTGAAATTTAAATATGATGAAACTTTTGTTTTACCTTTTTATGTCTACAGATGTAATTTCCTTCATATGTGTTTTGACCTGTGGACATCTGTTTATTGTCTTAATCGATACTATGACAACATTGTTATTCTCTGATTCATCACTACCGATACAGTCATTAAAACATTTTTGCTTTGGGTGACTAGGAAAACTTAGTAGCAATAGTTCACCTACTAGTCATTTACTCACCATCATGTCTTTAGAAACCCATTTGACATGCTTACTTCTGTGGAACGCAAAAGGAAAATACTTGAGAATATCCTGATTGTTTTTTTGTGGGGGGGGGTTGAATCTGAACATTCAGTTCATCTGAATGATTCATTCACAAACTAGACGATTCTGACTCAATGATCTGGTTGCATGTGTGGTCCTCACTCACAGTTTTCTTTTGACTTATTTATAATATGTGCACCATTTTATGATATTTTAATGGTGTTTTTTTACGTTCTTGTTAAAGAGATAGTTCACTTTAAAATACATGTTTGCTATGTTTTAGCTTTCCTCAAGGCCATCCAAGATGTAGGTGTCTTTGTTTCCGCAGTAGTTTCAATTTTGGTATTTTTAGGTCAAACCGTTCTTGTCTGTCAGTCATATAATGGAGGTCTATGGTCACCACCTCAAAGAGCATGCACAGAGAAGTCCAGATTAAACATGATTTATTGACTCATAAATGTAAGACACGAAACGAGCGGTTTGTGTGAGAAAACAAACAGTATTTATATCGTTTTTACCTCTTGTAACCACAGCCACGTCGGGCGCTTCGGTCTGCGCAAGCGCCACAAAGAGCCGGAAGTGATCATCTCTGCTGTTCGTTTTCTCATACAAACCGCTCGTTTTGTGTCTTAGGCCATCAATGTGTACTTACATATCCGAATCATTAAATCATGTTTAATTTGGACTTCTCTGTGTATGCTCTTTGAGGTGGTGACCATAGACCTCCATTATATGACTGACAGACAAGAACGGTTTGACCTAAAAATATCAAAATTGAAACTACTGCGGAAACAAAGGCACCTACATCTTGGATGCCCTTGAGGTAAGATAAAACATGCCAAAAATTAATTTCAAAGTGAACTATCCCTTTAAAGTCAGCATTGTTTTACCTTAAGGCGGGACTTGATTTTGGATGGTTGTGGTTTGCTATTGGTGAATCTCATGTGAGTGACAGGTTGCTCTGCCCTCATCAGAGAAAATAAGAGACGTCGCTGCAAGAGGGAGGGAAAGTTGTTATAATTAAAGCTTATGAGGGCACATGAATTTTGGGCAAACCATTTATAATAAGCTTTAAAGCTGCGGTCCTCATTCTTTAATTGTATTGCATGGAGAAAAAAACAACAACAACAACCAGGACGTCATTTCAAAGTTTCTCCTTTTGTGTTCCACAGAAAAAAAGAAATGCGAGTTTGCAACCCATTCCTTTAATTTAATTGCACACAATTGCGATAATTCAAACATATGCGTGTTTCATAATGCCAGTATTAGAGTTACTGTGTCAACAACAGAAAGGATCAGGTGAACTTATTGGTCAAACGGGAAGTTCATCACAAGTTCAAACAAGAGGCTGAAAAGTGAATTAGACACACCTAATTGTGAGACCTTTTTTTGTGTATGTGTGCGTACAGACCCTCCGAATGCACTGATATCTGGCTACGAGGACAACTGGCATGCTGAAATGCAAGGTGCGACGCTACAGTGCAACGGCGAAGGAAATCCCAAACCTCACCGATTCAACTGGACGAGGTAAGACTTTCTGTCTACATGTCTTTCACCTGTATCTATCAATCTGTTTGTTTGTCTTCCTGACAGCCTGTCTTGTCAGTTTGATTCTGTTTCGGTTGACTTCTCCATCAGCATGCCAGAGTAATCTGTAGGTGTGGACGAGAAGGTTATGGCCTAAATGCACGAGCGAATCTGTAATCTAGTCGATCGGATAGGAAGGTTGCTAGGAAGTAATACAGACACCGAGAGGTCATTGAAACACACAACAGTTGTTTTTGCATTCGTGAACAAGTCTGAGGTAAAATTAGTCACAATCACACACCTATTTTTTGGCATTTTTCGGGACGAGTGACTAAGGGGGTGTAGACACCGACGTTTAGGTGATCACGCAATTCCTGAGACAAACATTCTCTGGTTTTCGCCGCCTTCAGTGGGGAAACCTGTTCTCAGGCTGTTCGGTGTGAATGCAAAGTAAATGAAGTAACTGTGGCCTGGTGTCGTGTTGCAACTTGTGCGGCAAACAGACAAGAGTGCATTTTCACACGGAGGGAGAGAGCGGGGGTGAGGGAGTGAATTTGTGACGATGATGTCGGGAAAATTTGCCTACATGTATGTGTGTCACAGGAATAGGATGAGTATTACTACTGTCCTCATGCAAAACACACTGTGCTCTGTAAAAACATACTGTAACATGCGTATAGTTCCTGGTTTAAATTGTGGACAATGTTCTTATTGTCTACAGAAACCCTGAGTGTGTCCATTTGTATTGGCTAAATAAAGGCTTATGAACTATTAAAAAGTGGGGAAATCGCTTCTCATATCATATCAAACTATGCAAACATCTGCTTGACAAACTACACTGAAAAGAAATTGATGTAGAAAGAATTTTCACTGCTTAGATTTTAAAAATAATTACACATTTTTGACTTAATTAGTATTGGGTGCACTTTATTTCGATGGTCCGCATTAGACATTATATAAATAACTTTGCAACTTCTTGTCAACTAGCAGTCATTTAGCTGACGCTTTTATCCAAAGCGACTTACAATTGCTATATATGTCAGAGGTCGCACTCCTCTGGAGCAACTAGGGGTTAAGTGTCTTGCTCAGGGACACATTGGTGTCTCACAGTGGATTCGAACCCGGGTATCTCACACCAAAGGCATGTGTCTTATCCACTGTGCCATTAGCCACAAGGACATTTTAAGTTGAGATTTATGAAATAATTAAGCATTAATCGTTTACTGTATGTGTAGGTGACCAAAGCTTTCTGTTGTTTTCAATGCCTGGTTTTTATTTGGGGATTGAATTGTATTTCTTTGTGTACACAGGAAAGGTGAAGCTCTACCAGAGGGTGTGACGGTGGACGGTGGCACGCTGAGCTTTTCCAGGCCCCTTCTCCTGACAGATCAAGGGGATTACATCTGCACCACCACCAATCTGGTGGGATCTGGAAAAGCTGAGATTTCAATAAGTATAGCAGGTGTGTATCCTGCTGAAAACCATTCACTCATGTTGAAGTGAAATGCACAGTGCTGCCACCTAGTGAAAGTATTATGCAACTGCGTGTCTCGTAACCTATACAAATAAAGCAATAGTAATTTACTCAGCCTTATGTCATTCCTACGGAGGCGTATTGCATTCACTTGAAGAAAAAAAAAAATCTACTCTGTTTTTCTGAATTAACGAGTTAATTTTTCATGAGAAAAAAAATTTGCTCTGTTTTTCTGAATTAATGAGTTAATTTTTCATGAGAAAAAAAGTTTTTGCTCTGTTTTTCTGAATTAATGAGTTAATTTTTCATGGAATTTTTTTTTGCTCTGTTTTTCTGAACTAATGAGTTAATTTTTCATGAGAAAGAAAATATTTTGCTCTGTTTTTCTGAATTAATGAGTTAATTTTTCATGGAATTTTTTTTTTGCTCTGTTTTTCTGAATTAACGAGTTAATTCAGAAAAAACAGAGCAAAAACTTTTTTTCTCACGAAAAATTAACTCATTAATTCAGAAAAACAGAGAAAAAAATATTTTCTCATGAAAAATTAACTCATTAATTCAGAAAAACAGAGAAAAACTTTTTTCTCATGAAAAATTAACTCATTAATTCAGAAAAACAGAGCAAAAAAAAAATTCTCATGAAAAATTAACTCGTTAATTCAGAAAAACAGAGCAAAAAAAATGTTCTCATGAAAAATTAACTCGTTAATTCAGAAAAACAGAGAAAAAAATGTTTTTCTCATGAAAAATTAACTCATTAATTCAGAAAAACAGAGCAATTTTTTTTCTCATGAAAAATTAACTCATTAATTCAGAAAAACAGAGAAAAAAATGTTTTTCTCATGAAAAATTAACTCATTAATTCAGAAAAACAGAGTAGATTTTTTTTCTTCAAGTGAATGCAATACACCTCCGTACATTCCCAACCCGTATGGTTTTTTTTTGGGGGGGGTAACAGTTTACTTGAAGGGGTGTGTATAAGACTAATATGACACCTTCATAATCATGATATGACATATGTTATGAATATGAAGGAGGTTTTAAAGGAGTAGTTCACTTTTAAAAAAACTTTTGCTGATAGTTTACTCACCCCCATGTCATCCAAGATGTCCATGTCTCTCTTTCTTCAGTCGAAAAGAAATTAAGGTTTTTGATGAAAACATTCCAGGTTTTTTCTCCATATAAGGCACTTAGGGTTAGGTCCAAAAGACAGTTTCAGTGCAAACTGTTCAAAGGGCTTTGAACGATTCCAGACGATGAATAAGGGTCTTATCTAGTGAAACGATTGCTCTTTTTAAAAAAAAAAAAAAAAAAAAAAAAAAGCTTTTTAAGAACAAATGGTCGCTTTGCTCTGTTCTGTGATGCGCGTTCTTGACTCTCCTGTTCGAACTCCTTTATCAAAATGAACAAATCTTTTTTCGTGTCATTTAATTCATTCAACAAACGAAATGAACAAATTGACTCGGGAAAAGATTTCATTTTGATGAACGAGTTTGAACAGGAGAGTCACGAACGCACAGAACAGAGCAAGGCGACCATTTGAGCTTATAAAACTTAAACTTTGTTATTTTTTTTTTTAAATGAGCGAACGTTTCGCTAGATAAGACCCTTATTCATCATCGGGAATCGATTAAAGCCGTTTGAACAGTTTGCAGTTTGCACTGAAACTGTCTTTTGGACCTTTAACCGTTTGGTTCCCATTGAAGTCCATTATATGGAGAAAAATCCTGGAATGTTTTCATCAAAAACCTTTCAACCTTTTTATAAACGTGAACTACTCCTTTAAGCATGTCCATGACAACTGTTATTAAGTGTCATTCTCTCAATTATGACATTTTTAATGCAAATATGACATTGTTTGAAATGTCTTCAAGACATCTTAAACAATGTCATATTTGCATTCAAAATGAAAGTCACTTAATGAAAGTCATAAACATGCATAAACCCTACTTCATATTCAAGACATACTGAATGTCATGTCATGGTTATGAGGGTGTCGTGTTACCTTTTTTTTCCATGTGAATCCATATAATTGAATATACCTTATTTTTTTTTGCATGTATCTTTTAGAGTTGCCTCTGAAGGAAACATCAGTGAACTACATGATGATGATCATTATTGCCGGTGTCGCTGCAGCGGTTGTTCTCACTCTTGTCGTAATAATCATTTCTGTAAACCGCCACTATAAACGCAAAAATGAACAACTGGCCATAGAGCTGAAGGAAAAAAAGTAAGAAGTCTGTCTTTCTGAACACAAAATAGTTTACACAACTGGTCTGAATATGAGAGTTCATGTACTTCAATCTGTCCGTCTCACTTTCTTTATAAGGGAGGAAATCAGCACTCTGTCAAGACAAGCCTCGTTTAGAAGAGTGAACTCGAGCAGCACAGACAACAGATACTCGGTAATAAATCCATATACACACACTTTTGAAACAGTCTATATTGTTAAAAGTTTGACTTTAAAAAAAACATGTTTATTGATCATTTGGTTTGGGATTATATCGCCTATGCTCACCAGGGGTGCATTTATTTAATAAAAATACAGTAAATATTAAATGATATTAAAACAGCTGTTATCTATTTTAGTTTATTTTAACATGCAATTTATTTTTATGAAGGCAAGCTAAAATTTTCAGCATTATTACTCTATTAGTCTTCGGTATCACATGATCCTTCAGAAATTATTTTTTAATTAGCTGATTTAATGCTCAATTTACATCTGGCTTATGTATCTAAGTACCCTTTGGAGCAAATGTATGTAAACAAGGATGTATATTATATCACCCTTCCTCTCATTTTGCTGTCTGTCTTCTTTTAAAAGGAGGACAATCATCCTTTAAGAGTCGAAGGAACGATACGCACAAGTCTCTCCTCTCTGGTTCGTCTCTCTTTTCATATTTTAAAATGTCACAAGTTACCAGTCACACTCAGTTGTGTGTGTGTGTATATATATATATATATATATATATAGGCAGAATAATAGTCTTAATTGACGTCACAAGTTTTCCTCTCATAAAACCCCTAAATGTTTACTTTCACAGGATCGTCCTCGCTCCAGGGATAGTCGTTCCACGCTGGAACGTTGCACGGTGGACTCACTCGGTCGCCCTGCAATTTTTAACTCGTCCAGACGAGGTCAAAACAAACTGATCGAGAGATCTGACCGAGAATCCACTCGAATGATGATGATGGAGTCTTATGACGAGGACAGTAACATGTCACAGGTATGAGATGCGTTTCATGAATCTGTGTGGTTGACGGTAGCAGCCGTAGTTTCACTTGAAACGGGCGTCGTAACAGAAGAGACCTCCGGATGTCATGCAACACAGACCAGGGGCCGGTTTCACAAAGATTGACTTTGAGTATGAATTACATATAGTAGATAGTCAGACTTCAGATAGACATCTAAAGCAGACCCTGACTATCTTAAGTAGGACTACACTACACTGCAATGCATTTTGGGGATCAAGTAAGCGCATTCAACCGCTCAGTGCAGTTTACCCCAGCGGAAAATTCGTGTTTGTTGGAGCAGTATTAAAGGAGTAGTTCACTTTTGGAAAAACTTTTGCTGATAATTTACTCACCCAAGATGTCCATGTCTTTCTTTCTTCAGTCAAAAAGAAATTAAGGTTTTTGATAAAAACATTCCAGCATTTTTCTCCATATAATGGACTTCAATGGGAACCAAACGGTTCAAGGTCCAAAAGACAGTTTCAGTGCTGCTTCAAAGGGCTTTAAACGGTTCAATACGATGAATAAGGGTCTTATCAAGCGAAACGATCACTCATTTAAAAAAAAAACAACAAAGTTTAAGTTTTATAAGCTCAAATGCTCGCCTTGCTCTTTTCTGATGCGCGTTCGTGAATCTCCTGTTCGAACTCGTTCATCAAAATGAACAAATATTTTTTCGTGTCATTTGGTTCATTCAACGAAGGAAATGAACGAATTGACTCAGGAAAAGATTTGTTCATTTTGATGAACGAGTTCGAACAGGAGAGTCACAAACACTCATCACAAGGCGAGCATTTGAGCTTATAAAACTTAAACTTTGCTTCTTTTTTTTAAATGAGCGGTCATTTCGCTAGATAAGACCCTTATTCATCGTCTGAAATCGTTTAAAGCCCTTTGAACAGTTTGCAGTTTGCACTGAAGCTGTCTTTTGGACCTTGAACCGTTTGGTTCCCATTGAAGTCCATTATATGGAGAAAATGCTGGAATGTTTCAATCAAATTATCAGAAAAAGTTTTTTAAAAAGTGAACTACTCCTTTAATGCTTTATTATTTTTGAACTACACAGTTCTGCTTTATCCAATACATGTGCATGTAAAATTGCACCTAATCACTATTTGCAATTTTGCTATACAGGAAACCCAACTTCTCCCTCCTCTCCACCCCTCTTCTTATTCAACGGACCAGGCCGTTGAACTGGTGCGATCTCGAAACGGCAGTGCCATTCTCCCCGCGGAGGGGAGGCCGCGGTCAGGAGGAAGCAGCAGGGGGCATCACTCACCTATGGTAACCACCTACCCGACTCTTACAGACGAAGAGGAAGAAGATTCTGTTAGCCCTGCGGATTCAGGAGTGCACAGAGGTTTAATGGATCACGACGCTTTTGAAAATGGCAGCAGCGAGACGGCGAGTTCACAGATATCCGAGGCGCTATCCAACCATTTTGAGCGCACTAATGGCACACTACGGCCCAAGTCGAAACCCAATAACATCCTGCTCCCGGCCAAAACAACGCTTTTCCTCTCACCGCATAGCCCAACTATCCACAAAGCTCAGATCGTTTAAAGTGTTTGTTTGGAAGCGTCTTGCGTTAGAATTTATCGCCATTTACAGTGCTATTCTGTAAATTCACTTTTCCAAGGGCTGTCTTGACAATGACTAACCCATAAAAATGGATGTATTATATGAACTTGTATATGAGTACATTCCCAAGGTGGCAAAAACATGGACAGAACTATCAGGCCATCATCATCTAACCAAACTCAAACCTGAAAAACAAAACCAGCATTACTCGCATAGTTCCTCATAGTTGCATAATCCGGTGTGTTTTTGGAACTGGGACGACTGAGCATTATGGGGCACAGCGTGTGTTTCAGGTACAGATTAACTGGAGACCACCGGAGTTGAGCTTCACTGTGTGACCAGGGAGTGGAATTACGATCTTTTTTTTATTTTTATTTTTTATTGCAACATGAGGCTTCACTTGAATTACTGTTGAGGGAGAAAATACTACATGAACTGTGTTCTGGTCATCCTTCACTGTGACTTTTTGACTGTAATGTCTGTAATCCAAAAGATATCAAATGGTGTTTTTGAAATATTTTTTTTTTATACATCTTTTGTGTATTTTAACTGGAAACTGCCCAGTGCATGAATAGTATTATGAAGTACTGCATTACCATATTCTAAGAATGACTCCTGCATGTGACAAAAATGTCACTATATTTGCAGGAGTGACACTGTCTTTGTTTACAACATTTATACTTCATTATGTACTATTAGTTTTAATAAGCAGCAAGTGTTACCGCAAGCTCCTGAGGAATTCCTGTGACCTTTCTATCTAACAAAATGTAAAGCCATAAATGGGTCTTGATGGTAAGTAACTTTGGTGTATTGAGTTCACTACATTGTATGAGGTTGGCGTTAATGACTGGTTATTAAATCAACCCGAATTATACTGCATGTATCCTTGTTAGATTAATTTCAGAAAGCACAAAGTTGAATCAGGACATCATTGTTGGGTACTTTTCAGCCTACACCTGAACAGCACAATCTGTGTGGTGATTAATCTGGAAAAATGTACCATAATAACCAATATTTCCACCAAAACATTGCAATAAAACAGGGACTACTTTGAGATTAGCCACCACCATTAAAAAAAAATAGAAAGAAAGAATGGACCCTTATATATTAATTTAGTATGTTAGTTACAGGAAGACAGAGCAAGTCATATCAAACAGCTCCTCCCCTTTAAAAAAATGACCAAAAGTGTTTAGTTTATATCTAAGCTCGGCTGTGATTTACTTATTCTCTAACATGTTATCCTAATCTTCAACACGTCGTTTTAGTTAACGCTTCAGATTCTAGAGAGCATTTGATTGGACGGAATATTTGATGAGAAGCTGAAGTATAGAGTGATGTCATCAAAATCATTGCTTCAGCGTTTTAAATGGTTTAATCCTCTAAATGCGCATTTTGTCATTGTTTTGGAGCACACTAGCTTATAGATAATAGCAATTTAATATATTTGTAGTAAAAGCGAAAAAAAATAACTTTAAGAGCACCAATACGGTATTTGTTGCTTGAATTTTGTAATAAAACTTACAAAATTTGAAATCTGAGACCTTGTTTAATGTCAAAAGTAACCTGCTCTTTCTTGTCAGTGGTGTTTTTGTCCACTCCGTGAGAATAGCCAAACAGTTCCTTTAAAAGGTATGGTATGGCATTTTCCATCACGAACGAACAATGCTTGGCTGTTAGTGCAGAACTTGGACTTTTATTTTGAATTTAAACCTGACTGTCATTCTGCATAGAACCCTGATAGAACCTCACGTTTACGAAAAGACAGCATCTGAAAGTGAAAGAAATAGCCTGGGAAAAAATGTATGGAAATATTGTTTTGCCGTCAGTTTCCCTAATAGATTAACCTTTTTTCTAATACGTAGTTCGTTCGGTTGTGAATAATAAAATCATAAATGGTCACAAAGCGCTCAGAAAGGGACTTTTATTACGTCTAAAAGGCGTATCACCGTCCATTTTGTTGTCTGCTCACCATGGCGAACTTCACACATCGCTGCTTTTAATTCTAAGCACATTCGCTAAGGAATTTACCACCCATCATCTTTTATCCTTCACCGGGGTCGACGCGCTTCCTGATTTATTTTAACTTCCTGAACTGAACAGTTTTCTTTCAGCTTTGTACATATTTTAAAAACAGACAATTGTGCATTTATTTCCCTGATAATATGGATTAATTTGTCGATGCCTGCTCAAATTGACTGGATATATCTGTTCCACCTGACCATGCAGAAAATCCCGGCGATAACACACTCAAAGGATTAGTGTAGTTTTATAGATCATTGCATTTATATATAATATATAATATTTTTATACCCGGAATCGCGTCATTAATTTCTGAAGATTTTTCTAAGAAAGGAAAGAAACTAAAGAAGGAGGAAACCCCCAAACAGAGGTACGAATGATGTCATTTATGTCATATGTTATTAGTGCATTTTTGCGGTTGTGGCTGTCATCTGCATTTATGTGTTAACGACCCCATTACTTGTATATTAGTCCCATTTATATGTATTATGTGGTGTGCGGTGAGGTTTTAAAAAAAAGTGTGAGTAAAAGTCCTCACATTTTTAGGCCTATATAACGTTGGCTATATGAAATGTACATTTATATTCCTAGCTTTTACAATTAATTTTAGTGGTTAAATTAACATGACATGGAAAAAGAGAGCGCAAATACAATTTTATTTTACGTAATGTTCTATTTATTAAAACAAGTATACATTTATAAAGTTTGTATTTTAACGCATTTTACATGTATTCCAAAATAATAACTAGCAGTAACAATTTTAAACAATATTATTTGTGAAATAATACTCAGCTTTTTTTTTTAAAGTCAACTAAAAACCCCGCAGTCGTATTTTTTTTAGGTCATTTCAAGTTTGATTTTGACGTGATATAAAGCGGTGATATGAGTTGTTTACTTACATATTAGGCCTAATTATTATTCCCATTAATGTCATCATCTTCTTCATTCAGGCCAGATTCGAGAACGCGCACGAAAACAAGAGTTATCGCGTAAACCAATGATATCCTATCCAATCGTATCTTGATGGATTGCCTCTTCTCACGTGACTTCCCCTGATTTGTGATTTGTTCTCAATAACCCCCATAAACCCACCGCACACACCAAAGTGTATTATGTCTTTAGTCAATGGTCTCAGGGGAGAACAGAAAAAAGAGTGACTTTTACACTTTTTATTTTCACATTTTGTAATATCGATTATTTTCTCATCCAGTTTTTTTTGTGGAGACACTGCCTAGTAATGAATGGCAAATATTTAGTGTTAATTTATTGTTCTTAACCACCAATCACTGGAAGGAAAATTAGCAAGATCTGTACAAATACTGTAGATAAAGTATCTTTACTAAAAGTATACTTAAAGATAAAGATAAAGTATCTTTACTTTATCTTTACCTTTATAGCATGAATAGCATTCCCCTTTGTTTTCTGTTAATGTTTAAGCCTTATGGGTAAACTTGCTTTTCTTCCTGCTTTTAACAGGAAGACGTTTTCCACTCAATATTAATGGCTTCAAACAGTTTATAAGTAGTTGAAAAATGTGTCCCAGTTCGTTTGAGTTCAACGTGAGACCAAATATTCACTATAGGGTTCAAACCAGGCCAGAACACGAGCCTGATGGATTTCTCATACTCCAAAGCGTCACATGATTTGTATTAAGATGAAAATAGTGTAATGTCAAAAGAAAATAGCAGAATATTGGGAAAAGATGCACAGAAATGTCCCATGAAAACTCGTTCCTGGAAAGCAACCTTTAGACCACAGTTCACATGTCAGAGCTTTAGGATTTACAATGTTGTAAGCCATTTATAGTGAGATGTTTACAGGGTAGATTTACCGTTTGACATGTCTCTATTGATTCTAGTTTGATCACATTAAAGACAAAAGGTGTTTAGGGGGGGTTCATTTATCTAAATATATAGTCAATATATCACATTAGAATGTGAATGTGTAATAGACTGTATTCAGAGCAGCGCCATGACAGGTATGAAAGCGAGGCTGCGAGGGATAAACGTATTGTTTTCAATGGCAGCCACTCTATAGAAGCTCCTTGATCACTTATAATTTTCCACAATCCAACTGAAATGTCTCGGAAATATATTTTTGCAGTGTTTCATCCCCAGAACAATCCCAAAACATTAAAAAATAAGAGTACAACCCACTCAAGAGATGCATGTCTACCCCTCACCGCTTCGCTTTCATTCCTGTTAAAAATCAAAGATGGCGCTGCTGTGAATAAAGTCTATGTGAGGTAACCAAACATCAGACCTTAAATGTTGATGGTTTGTGGTTTGTGACTTTAGCTGTCGTGTTCAGTCTCAGACACGTGAGAGCTGCAGGCGTATAGAGTTGCACTGGACAAGAGGAGCTCTCACTTTTACCTCAATACTTAAGCCTATCTGACCTAATAACCTAGTGCTCAATGGAACAGAAAAAATATAAATCATATTTTACGTGACAATTTTGAGATTATGGCCAAATACAGATCAGGATATATATATTTATTGACATGTATTGTAGATGATATTGCTGTGTTACCTTCTTTGCTGTTACATGGATTTAATATAATTTTTCCTAATATGTTTATTGTTTAAATCGTGTTTAAAAGGCTGGTGTGACAACATGCCCCACTACTGACATCTTGTGTTCAACTACCCAAATGCTGCTTGAGGTTCACTTATAATGTTAGTAAAGAACAACAAATGTTCAGTATGTGAGGACTCGGAGATATGATTATTTTGAACCCTGGCTAACGTCACTGCTTTATAGATGAAATGAACATATTAAATAATTGATGATCTATAATCAACACAGAACTGACTTCAGCTGAAATGCATAATTTTCCTGTTTATCACCTTAAAACTGCTTTGAAACCATATCTATTGTATAAAGCGCTGTAGAAATAAAGGTGTCTAGACCTATAGCTTTATCTATGTCTTGTTCTGGAGGCTGTCATATGCAAATATATTTGCCAGTGCGACGTCACAGATCCCGCAATATCAAAACAAGCCATTTTTGGAGCTTGATTAAATACATGCTTTGGACATTTATTTCACTCTTCTGAAACTTTCAGGATGTTTTAATGGTGTAAAGACCTTTTATGTCAAAAGATCAAGGGAAATTTGATTTCTCATGTCATGGCCCCTTTAAAATTGAAGTTTACCTAACCCATTGATATGATAATTTGCATAATGAATTGTGATCCTTTATGTTCATTTTGACTTATTTTAACATGTTAAAGGAGTAGTTTAAAAAAAAAAACCTTTGCTGATAATTTACTCACCCCCATGTCATTCAAGATGTCCACGTCTTTCTTTCTTCAGTCGAAAAGAAATTAAGGTTTTTGATGAAAACAATCCAGGATTTTTCTCCATATAATGGACTTCATTGGGAACCAAATGGTTCAAGGTCCAAAAGAGAGTTTCCGTGCAAACTGCAAATTGTTCAAAGGGCTTTAAATGATTCCAGACGATGAATAAGGGTCTTATCAAGCGAAACGATTGCTCATTTAAAGAATAAATAACAAAGTTTAAGTTTTATAAGCTCAAATGGTCACCTTGCTCTGTTCTGTGATGCACGTTCGTGACTCTCCTGTTCGAACTCGTTTATCAAAATGACCGAATCTTTTTTCGTGTCATTTGGTTCATTCAACAAACAAACTGAATGAATTGATTCTGAAAAAGATTTGTTCATTTTAATGAACGATTTCGAACAGGAGAGTCACGAACGCGCATCACAGAACAGAGCAAGGCGACCATTTGAGCTTATAAAACTTAAACTTTGTTATTTATTTTTTAAATGAGTGATCGTTTCGCTTGACAAGACCCTTATTCATCGTCTGGAATCATTTAAAGCCCTTTGAACAGTTTGCACTGAAACTGTCTTTTGGACCTTGAATCATTTGGTTCCCATTGAAGTCCATTATATGGAGAAAAATGCTGGAATGTTTTCATCAAAAACCTTAATTTCTTTTCGACTGAAGAAAGAAAGACATGAAAGACAAGAAAGACAAGTTTTTTTTTAAAGTGCTTTAACATGCTTTAATTTAATATCCATAAAATACTATTCCGTGATTGGTTTAATCATCAATGGTTTCACTCTCCTGCCCACAGTCATGTCCTTCAGGAGGGGTGTTGTCAGGCAGAGTAAGTTCAGGCATGTGTTCGCACAGGCCTGGAAGGCTGAGCATTGCCTTGATGATGTCAGAGTGTCACGCGTGACGTGGGACGGTCCGCTCTGTGCCGCCAATCCCAAGTTCATTGCTGTTGTCATCGAGGCTGGAGGAGGTGGAGCCTTTCTTGTGTTCCCGCTCGCCAAGGTTGGCATGCACTCTCTCTGCGATATGCAAAAACAATGAGGATTTACAGTTGTCTGAATAATCAAATCAACATTTCCATAAAATTGGTTAAGCTCATATTGTTTTCACATCTCTAACCACTAGAGCGGGAGAGTGGACCAGAACACCCCGACTGTGTGCGGGCACGCCGCTCCAGTGCTGGATGTGCAGTGGTGCCCACATGATGACAACGTTATTGCCAGTGCCTCAGAGGACTGCACTGTCAAGGTTTGTTTTACTCCCTTCGACAAAACCCACACCTCATGAGTGGTGAATAAGGGGTCTTTATAAATATTCATTGCATTATTAAGACATGAAGATTCACATGGTACATATTGTCATTTTTGTTGGTACGTTTTTCAATATTTATAGAATTATTTTTTCAATCATTTAAATATTACTTAAAATGGTGTTTTTGAACCATACAGTTTGTAAAAATCTATGTACAAATATTTTACACATTTTCCCATGTAATGTTGCTAATCAAAAGTTTGCAATAATGTTTTTTTTTATGTTTTTGAAAACTACGGAAGCCCTGAACTGCAACGTTAAAAAAAATCTGTAAAATAATCAAAATCTAGCATTTCGAGATTAAAGTCGAAATCTTTCGAGATTAAAGTTGAAATGTTTCGAGATTAAAGTTTCGAGATTAAAGTCGAAATGTTTCGAGATTAAAGTCGAAAGGTTCCGAGATTATAGTCAAAGTTTCGAGATTAAAGTCAAAATGTTTCGAGATTAAAGTCGAAAAATTTCGAGATTATAGTCGAAAGTTTCGAGATTAAAGTCAAAATGTTTTGAGATTATAGTCGAAATGTTTCGAGATTAAAGTCAAAAAGTTTCGAGATGAATGTCGAAAAGTTTCTAGATTAATGTCGAAATGTTTCGAGATTAAAGTCGAAATGTTTCGAGATTAAAGTCGAAATGTTTCGAGATTAAAGTTGAAATGTTTTGAGATTATAGTCAATGTTTCGAGATTAAAGTAAAAAAATTTCGAGATTAAAGTTGAAAAGTTTCGAGATTAAAGTCAAAATGTTTCGAGATTAAAGTCGAAATGTTTTGAGATTAAAGTCGAAATGTTTTGAGATTAAAGTCGAAATGTTTTGAGATTATAGTCGAAATGTTTCGAGATTAAAGTCAAAAAGTTTCGAGATTAAAGTTGAAAAGTTTCGAGATGAATGTCAAAGTTTCTAGATGAATGTTGAAATGTTTCGAGATTAATGACGAAATGTTTCGAGATTAAAGTTGAAATGTTTCGAGATTAAAGTTGAAATGTTTCGAGATTATAGTCGAAATGTTTCCAGATTATAGTCGAAATGTTTCGAGATTAAAGTCAAAATGTTTCGAGATTAAAGTAAAAAAATTTTGAGATTAAAGTCGAAAAGTTTCGAGATTAATGTCGAAACCATGACATTAGTGGTATTTTGTTAATAAAAAGTTCAAAGGTACAGCGTATATTTGAAATAGAAATCTTTTGTTACAATATTAATGTCTTTTTGATCAATTGAATGTGTAATTTCTGAATAAATGTATTAATTTGTATAAAAATGGGAGTGTATCACATTTTTTCATAAAAATATTGAGCAGCACAACTGTTTTCAACATTGATAATAATAAGAAATGACAATGAAGACTTTTTCTATTTTGTCAAGGAATCCTGTTGTTTTTTTTAAAATCATGCTATTCGTTTCACTTTGATAATAAGATGTTTCTTGAGCAGCAAATCAGCGTATTAGAATGATTTCTGATGGATCATGTGACAGCGAAGACCTTTACTTTTACACAGACGATAGTTTTTCTTGTATCTGTGTATTGTGCACAACAGGTTTGGCAGATTCCTGACGGAGGTCTTACGTCTCCCATGTCTGAAGCTGCTGTGACTCTCGAGGGCCACAGTAAAAGAGTGGGCATCCTAGCCTGGCACCCTTCGGCCCTCAACATCCTGTTGACTGCAGGTAAGCACTTCCTTTGTCTATCTTTTCTATTCGGCTCTCGGTGCTTGGATTAAGTCTGTTCTGGCACGCTCTATTTCTGGAGTGTGCTCTAATTCTGGTGTCTTAACCTGCTTTATATCTTTTCTCAAACCCTATTTTTGGATGTTGGAGTTTGTTGATGGTTTTTGTGCACCTTCAAAGTACTGAAAAGACAATAGAGCTGTCAAACGATTAAAAATGAATTGCATGATGATAGGCTGATTCTGTGAATAAGTGAATCTCAATTAATTGCATATATCAATATTTGTTGAGAAAAGCCACCAAATGAAGGTAATTGAAGACATTACACTATTGAGGCAATAAGCATGACAAAAAAGTGGTTTTAAAAGTCAATATATTGATTTATTTCCATATAATTAAGAAATAGGGGTTGATATGTCTACACCTCTACAGAAGTAACATATATAAAGCTAAACCGCAGAGTTTGATTTAAAGGTTTGCGCACAACCAGACTAAGGAAGGCAGTTTTGGGTTTGATTTGCATTAGCATGTAAATATCTGAGATGCAAATCTTAGGTCTTAAACTGATTAAATGTTTTGACCTTTTATGGTTCACTGTGGACTTTCTACTTACTAGAAGTAACTTTGCAACTACATCTCAACTAACAATCATTAGAGTAGTGGACCCTAACATTTTGATGCTCCCAATACAGACATTCTACTGACTATAAATAAATAAATGTGTAACTACATGTCAACTTATTCTACTACCTGAACGCTCAGTCTACTAATACTCTAATGAGAGTTAGTTGGCATGTCTCTGTACCAATTTCTGGACCAGAGCAAGAACTGCTGAAATAAATGAAATTAATTTTTGGTATATTTTAGCTTACCTCAAATGCATCCGAGATGTAGGTGTCTTTGTTTCAGCAGTAGTTTCAATTTTGATATTTTTAGGTCAAACCGTTCTTGTCTGTCAGTCATATAATGCAGGTCTATGGTCACCACCTCAAAGAGCATGCACAGAGAAGTCCAAATTAAACATGATTTAATGACTCGTAAATGTAAGTACACATTGATGGCCTAAGACGTGAAATGAGCGGTATTTAGATCACTTTTACCTCTTTTTACCACAGCCACAATGCGCCCGCACCCTCAGATCACTTGGTTATAAGAGGTAAAAACGATTCGTTTATGTTCGTTTTCTCACACAAACCGCTCGTTTTGTGTCTTAGGCCATCAATGTGTACTTACATTTACGAGTCATTAAATCATGTTTAATTTGGACTTCTCTGTGCATGCTCTTTGAGGTGGTGACCATAGACCTCCATTATATGACTGACAGACAAGAACGGTTTGACCTAAAAATGTCAAAATTGAAACTACTGTGGAAACAAAGACACCTACATCTTGGATGCCCTTGAGGTAAACTAAAACATACCAAAATTTAATTTCAAAGTGAACTATCCCTTTAAGTACTTTAATAAATCATGTCGTTTTGTCTCGCCCATTGTTTGTCTCTGTCAATCATCACAGTTTCCGAATCAATGGCACATGTAAATATAGTTGTCAGTCCAGAAACCTTTCATGTACTGAGCAGCATAAAAAATTACACTTGTATTGGGAGAGTGAACAGGTATGAACAGAAAGCAAGAGAAGAGCCTCCATCACTAAAACTATCAATCCCTAAAGTTCAAGCTCACTGAATTCTGCACTCTAGTGAAAACTCCCATTATTATTACAAAAAAGCTTTCTTGATTGTAAAGTGAATCTCCTGTTTATATTGTATTTCTACTTTGTTGGCTATAATGAAAGGATTCTGGAGAATGCAGCGAACATTGAACAAGCACTGAATAGCACCTCTGATTTGCTACCGCATTCACACCTTTAGCAGATATGACTGTGACTCATTACAATGCTCAACACTGGTTAAAACACGCTGTAAATAGACAGCGCTCAAACAAACACAATTTTTTTAGTCGTACCGGTACTTTTGACAACCCTAGAATGTCTAAAGTGGACCATCGAAATAAAGTGTAACCCTTTGATCTTGTGTGCCCATGTTCTAGGATGTGATAATGTCCTCTGTGTGTGGGATGTGGGCACCGGGGAGATGGTGTACCAGCTGAGTGACGCCCATCCTGACCTGATATACAGCGTGAGCTGGAACCGAGAGGGGAGCATCCTGTGCACCACCTGTAAAGACAAAGCCTTACGAGTCATTGATCCCCGGCGGGGAACTGTCCTTAAGGTCAGTCTGTTCATTCCTGCATCCATTCCTGTTTCCCAACCAGGGGTTTATGAAGCAATGTAACACAGACAGATTCAAAAGATTGGGTTCTGTATGATTCTTTTGGGAAGAAATCTCTTATTCTCACCGGGGTTGCATTTATTTGATCAAAAATGCAGTAATTTTGTGAAATATTATTACAAGTGAAAATAACCGTTTTCTTTTTTAACCTTTTGATGCACAACGTGATGGGTCTAAGTGACCCGACTGATCTGGTCACTCAGGAATGCCTCAGTGGTTTTGCACTGATATGTGATTTTTCTTGTCATTTGACGATGTCACACTCAGGTGCGGGAGAAAGCTCATGAGGGCACCAGGCCAATGAGGGCCGTCTTTCTGGCCGATGGGAAAATCCTGACAACCGGATTCAGTCGCATGAGTGAGAGACAGCTTGCCCTCTGGGACACAGTAAGAGCATTTTTTTAGAGGAACATCATTGGTGGTTCATTGGCCAGCAAGAACGTTTTATCCTTTAGGCCGTGTGTCCACCAAAGCATTTTTCCACGCGCCTGGCGTATGTTTTCAATTGTTTTCAATGGAAGCGCCGTGTTTTTTTAAACGCCACGAGCATACCGAGGCGCTGAGTGTTTTTTTTCACGCTGAAGCGCCGAGCGCCCGGCGTTTTTACTGGTCGCTGGGAGTTGAAAAATGTTCAACTTTGGATAAAACGCAGCGCTCATCGCTGTCACTTTTTACCCAGCCATCCAATCACAGCGACCAACTGTCACAAAATTCAAACTGCTGCGGATATTCTGTATCATAGCAACGAAACGTCTCAACGGAAAAAAACGCTGCGCTGCCAAAACGCTCTCATGCGCCCAAAGCACGGCGTCTTCAGCAGAGCATCTAGCGTTTTCAGCTAAAAACGCTTTGGTGGACACACGGCCTTAGAGCTTGTCTGTTAATCTGTTAATAAACTTGATTGATCTTCCTACTGTAAGTTTTATAGGTAATTGATAATCAATAATGTACACTACCATTCACAAGCTTGGGATTATTAAAGGTGCAGTGTGTAATTTTTAGCGGCATCTAGTGGTGACGTTGCAAATTGCAACCAACAGAAGTTACGATGGCCGATAGGAAAAGATGTCGTCGCCTGGAACAGCAGAGAGTAGCCAGTTAAGCAATGAGGTTTACTTAATTATTCAGTAAAACAATATGTTATTACGAATATTATTGTTACTTGTTCATCATTGTGTCAGTGTTTTATTCTCAGACTTTAGCTAGCTTCTTTGCACGAAGAACAAAATAGTGACGAAATACGTTTGTCCTTTTAGAGCTACTGTAGAGACTACGTTGTAATGTAAGGGGACCCGCGGTGTATGTAGATAGAAACTGCTCTTTGTAAGGTAATAAAAACATAGTGGTTCATTAACCGCTTAAGTGTCACCCCCCCCCCCCCCTTTTTTTTTTGAATATAGATGAAAATGCACATTTCGAACTTAAATGGTTGTAATTCAAGAACGCTCTGGAATATAGACGTAAAAATGGTCTCGTTTTAAAGAAGACATTTGGCAGATTTTTGTAGAAGTGAAATAAATTAAGAATGTGAAACAGAAGAAAAGTTATAGAAGTTTGAGTTTATGAAAATGTACAATATAAAAAATTTAATTATTCATATTTTATATAAAATATATATTTTTTTAAAACCTGGCAACTCTAAAACTGCTAAAAAAAAATCAAAGCCAAAAATCTGAATAAATTTTAGGTTGATATCTCAAAAAATGAGCTTTCAGTGAGATTTTGTTTGGGCGCAGTACCAAACTTTTTCACTAGGGCACAACCAGACTCCATTTCCATATGAAATAATGATTATTATAATTATAAAATAATTGAATGGAGGCTTTCTTTTGAACTCTTGGCATGAAAACAAACAGGTTTCTACCCTTCTTTCATGATTTTTCATGTTCATCACAATTTCAAAATAAAGGTTAGAGTATGAGTATGAAAGTATGAAAGAGTATGAAAATATTCTTGTTGCAAATTGATAAATTACGGCTCCTCTGTAATATATTTTGAAAATCAAGCTTTCAAGATTCTAAGCTTTCAAATGATATATCGTTTGTCAAGATTAGTTTAGATTTAGTATAGGATAATACTATTTTAAAAATGTAATGGATTTGGGCCCGTGACACTTAAGGGGTTAAGTAAGGTCTTTATACACCACTGTCAAAAGATCCTCCTAAATATTACACAATGCACCTTTAATAATTATTTTTTTATGAAATTAATACTTTCATTGACAAGGATGCATTAAATATCTTTACTGTCACTTTACTGTAAAAATTTAAGCAGTAAAGCAAAAAAAAAAAAAATCCTTTTGTCACCGGGATGCAATAAATTTGGCGGTAGACTAGGCCGCGAAGGATCCATCTGTTGTATCTTTCATGGTCCGAGAAACGATGGATGCATTTGGAGGAGCCTTCGAATTGGGACAGCCTTCGTCGCGCCGCGGTGATGCAATCGGCTTTCGAACGTGGCCTTCGAAGGATGCAGCCTCTGAATTGGGTCTCCGCTACAGTCTTAAATTAGCGGCTACTGTATTTTTATACAACTGGCCAGAGGAAACATGCAACCAATCAATCAATCAATCAATCAATCTATCAATCAGATGAGCTTACTTACTACTATCAGATGTTGCCTGTCTGGTTCAGTTATTGATATGTTTTAGTAATGTTCTTTTGGTAACCTGTTCTGTCTGTGCATTTCAGAGAGATCTGTCTGAGCCAATGGTTACACAGGAAATGGACACCAGTAATGGAGTTCTGCTTCCATTCTATGACCCAGACACCAACATGGTTTACTTGTGCGGGAAGGTAAGATTACCCAGCTGGAACTGGGTAGTCCGTACTGAAATTTAAAAAATGTGCGCTGTTGAGCGGAATCATAAACACCTCTGATTGGCCGTTGTGTTCACGAGCTCATCGGATATGTCTGTGATTGGCTACAATGATCAACGCACCGGAGCGTTTGAGAGCACACGGCATCTATCAGCGCCACTGATAGACGTCTGCCTTCAAACACTTCAAACGCTCCCGTGTGTATCTGTGTAAGCGCTCGCTGAAGAGCTTCATTGATGTATATTTACAATGAGTTTTTGAAGCGCTGAATATTGTTGCCAATCACAGACATATTTGATAAGCGTGTAATTGAGCGTGATTTCAATTCCAGTGTCCAATCACTGACTCGGGTAAGTTTTCCTTACACAAAGTTAGGGTTGGGTATCGAGAATCGAGTATCGATTGGAACCGGGACTAACTTTTAGTTTTTCCCGGAATCGTTCAAAAGTTAAAATTTCGATTCCTAGTTTCGATATTCACAGTCCGCTTAGCGGAAGAAGAAACCGCTGAACAACACCAACGAAGAAGCATCTACCGGAAGTGTTGGCATAACCACGCGAGTCGAACATGAGTACCTTACGTCGGTGATCCAAAGTGTGGCTTCACTTTTCTAAAAATAACGAAATCTCTGCAAAATGCAAAATTTGAGACAAAAGGAGTATTTGTGACAGGAGGAGTATTTCCTTCAGAAAGGATTATTTCCTTCCGAAAGACCGTTGGTTAGCAAGGTTAGCTAAACTTTTTTGACCCTGCCTCTTAAAAGAATCGGAATCGAGAATCGTTAGGAACCGGAATCGAAACAAGGAATCGGAATCGGAATCAGAATCGTTCAAATTCAAACGATACCCAACCCTACACACAGTAAACATATTATAATATAAGCTATGTTTTAAAAGTTTGAAGTCTGTAAGGTTATTTTTCAAATAAAATAAAAATCTCAGGGGCTTATTTGATCAAAAAATGTATATTTTAATAAATTTCAAAATGTAATTTATTCCTGTGAGAAAAGCTTCAGAAATAATTTTAATTTGCTGATTTGCTGCTCAAGAAACATTTACCATTATTATCAGGATGAAATGAAAATAGCTGGAGTTGGATATGTTTGTAGAAACTGTGGTGGCGTTTTTTTCAGGATTGTTTGTGTGTTTTAAATAGAACTTTGTAAAAGTCCTCATTGTCACTTTTGATACATTTAATGCTCAAAAGTATCGATTTCTTCCAGAAAAACAAAATGATCATAAACATATCTTACTGACCCAAAACTTTTGAGCGGTGGCGTACGAGATGTTGAGTCTGTAAGTGCTGGTAAATGGTGTCAGATGTTAATACCTTGGTACTTTGATGCATACCATAGATCGTGTGTCTCAGAGGCCCATGTAATAAAAGTAGAACTAGTAATTGCTGAAATGAGCTCTAGTTCAGCTGTCTGATACCGTCTCTCTTTCACAGGGGGATTGTACCATCCGCTACTTTGAGGTGACGGATGAGTCACCGTTTGTTCATTTCCTGAGTCTGTATAGCAGTAAGGAGCCGCAGAGAGGTGCTGGTTTTCTAAGCAAACGAGGAGTAGATGTCAACAAGTGTGAAATAGCAAGGTACGAACTCAACTACTGTGTGACTTTAAGACAGTGTCATTCTTCGACGTCCTGACTCTTTTTATTTAATAATGCCTTAATGAATCCCTGAGTGGTACATTTGAGTGGCAACTCCAACTTCGGTCTTTTGTTTGGTGCCAAAGTTGATTGACTGGTTATTTGTCTGGGATGTTTGACTTAGTATTTTTAATGTTTTCTTACCCTCGTGTGATTCCATTCTTTCTTCCGTGGAACACATCATTTTTTTTTGTGGAAAAATATTCACACGCCAACATAGAAAGAAAATAGAAAGTTTGATGAATAGAAAGTTCAATAGAACTATATTTATTTTAGATCTTTTGTAACATTATAAAATATGTTAGGCAAAGTCATTTTTTAAAATTCAAATATCCGATGTTCAAAAATTTTGTTACTCTCTAAAAACTAATTACGTTACATAGTTACTTTTTATGGAAAGTAATGTGCCACGTTAGTTTTGAATTACTTTTTTTCACGTGGACATGGCTTGTTTTTTCTTGTTAACAAACCAAAAACACAAATGTGATGTTTATCTAAAATAATTTTTGCTTATTAGTATGGTTTAATTGGGTAATCGAAGGTGAGCAGCAAAGACATTGGTTAATAAAGTGAAATTAAATACCTAAAATATATTTGTGTTATAATATATTACGCTACTTCATTTTATTCTAAATGGTTTTAATTTACTGTATTTTATTTTTATCGTATTTTTTATTTTTTATTATTTCTTATTTTTTATTCTAAACTGTTTTAATTATTCTGATTTCTTTTGATTATTTTAATTTCTTCTATGTAAAGCACTTTGAATTGCCATTGTGTATGAAATGTGCTATATAAATAAACTTGCCTTGCCTTGCCTTATATAAAATTTTATTATTGCATGTGTGCTTAATATTCTGAGTTTGCATTTCACTATTTTGACTCATTTTTAAGAAGCTGTGCAGTAACTGAGTAACAAACTGGAACAAGTTGGCTATTATTGATAACACTTTAATATAATGTTCATTAGGTATAAAATCCATAAAAATTCATAAAAATCCAGCTGTTTATTGTTTGTTCACAATGCATTAACTAATGCATACAGCATTTGATTTAAATAATGTATTAGTAAATGTTGAAATTAATATTAACTATATGATTGATAAATAGTAAAAAAATAATGTTCATTCATAGTTCACGTTAACTAATATTGTAGTGTTACCATATCATTCGCTAAAAATCATTTTCATTTTTGAGCTTTCATTTTGATCTTAAACAGTGCTTGCATTTATCTCCATTGTTCTTCATCTTGTTCCATCAGGTTCTATAAGCTTCATGAGAGAAAGGTTGAGCCCATATCTATGACTGTGCCACGGAAGGTAGGTTCAGTCTGCATGCATCCATGCGTTCAGTTTTGAATCTGTGTTTACAGCGAGTCAGAAAGGAAAGTTAGTAAGTAACTTTTGGCTACTAATTAGTCATTCCATTTTGTCATCTACAAGAGCTTTGAGATGAACTTTGTTCTGATAGTAGTGTAGAATTTCTCTTTTTAAATGCTTTGAAAGCTTGGAAAGTTAAGTGTTACAGGAAGTTCTCTGAAAAACACTTTATTGTAAATGCTCTCTTGCCTTGCGTGTAGAAAAATAATTGCACAGCGATGCGACGCTTAGGTTTCTTTATCAGTCAGCCATATATACTGCAGTTTGTTTAAAAAAATATGTGATGATCCTCATGGGCCTTTCCATGAATGCGTGCCATTTACTCATTGTGTTTTATTATACTTATTATCCTCTTGAAAATAAAACTTTAAAAAAAAAATTGATTTTAATAACATATTTAACTATTCAAAATATGTACTTGTTCATCTCCAGTCACTTCATTTCATTTTTTACAAGGTTTTTAAGTCAAAGACGCATGCATTTTTCTCAGTCCAGTTACCAAAAGTGTTTAAAAAAATTAACATGTTTACAAACATGTGAACTAATTACTTACATTTCGATGTTTATTTTGAAGAAACCGTTAGTTTCATGTTCAAATAATTTATATTTTTCATAAAAAACACTTTATATGCACAAAAGGTTCATTTTTCCGAAAGGTTTCCATTTTTTTTAATAATGGGATTTGTTAAACGATTGGACAATTAAATAATGGACCAAACACAATTATTTTTTTTTATTGAAAAATATATTTTTCAACAGGAATGAACACTGCAGAACAGGAATGCGTGACTATACTTGTGAGGTGTTAATGTCCTCACTAATAGTGAAACCTGTTGATCTAGTGAGCTCTTCTACACCTCACTCATTTCTAAATTTAGTGAAATAATGAAGTAAAAATAGCAGGCACAACAGCTATAAAGTGAATAGCACACACAACACAGGACACTACAACGTGAAAATTGTATTTTGTATTGAGAGAGCACGTTACAAAAACATTGAATCAGTGCAGATGGAAGGCTAACGTAGAGAAAACGATGTGGTTTCAAATGTATCTAGATTAGTGTGCTAAATATTCACACTAATAAACAGCCTGTTCTCATCCCAAGGCGTCATATACTGACGCTTTTGACAATGCATATACATCCAACGCACATGAGACACAGATATATATGGGCCAGAAGGCGCCTCCTAGTGGTCTAACCCTAACCCTACCCCAGACCTAAACCTACCCATAACCGAAGCGTGTTACATTGACGCTAAAGGGTGCCATGTGTGTTGGATGTATACGCATTGTCAAAAGCGTCAGTATGTGACGCCCTAGGATGAGAATGTGTTGTAATAAATAGGGATGGGTACCGAAACCCGGTATTAAACGGGCCCCGGTACTGAATTTTGAAAGACCGCTGTATCGATAAGCTCGGACGTTATCGGTTCTGCTGTCGGTACTGGAAAAATTATTTATCATTCCTAAAGACGTTATCTTGAACATGTTTATATCGCCAGCCTTTTCTATATATAAACTATATTTTAATTAAACCATTTGTCTGTGATGCAAATTTGAAATTCGCAGTTCAGAAGAGAGAGAGAGCGATCTCTCACGCAAAGCCACAGCACGCGAAACACGACAGCCCTTGCTTAATGAGTGACAATGAGGACAGAACTAAACATTCAACGTGGTTACACTTTAGATTTGGGATATTATTCTAATATATTTTGTATTTCGGCTTCCAAAGATTATAAAAAGAAGATATTTGAGATGAAACCGTTAAAAAACAAGACGCATGATCTGTCCAGTTTAACTTCCTTTAGCCTACTTCACAGCACTGCGGAGCGCTGTCAGTTCTTCCTATTAGGAAGTTCCCAAAACCCAAACGTACCGTCAGAATCAGCACGATTGGCGATTGTTGCAAAATGCTGTCTTCTACTGTTGCAAGATCAAAAAATGGCTATTAAAAACACAAAAGCCTGCGCAAGAGACGCTGTTCACGACTGCAACGAGACAAGAAAAGTAGCCTACACTTTGGGCTTCGTGTGTCCTTAACTATCAAATATACATAAAAATGTCAAAATGACCAGCTCTGAGATTCACTTAAACAAAGTTTATTCACTTAAACACAATTATGTCTTAAATGGACGTAAATAATAGGGAGAAAATGATGGTGCTTCAGTTACCGATTAGATTTGCTCTCGGTCTTAAAGGGGCAGCAGTCTAATAGCCTAAACCTGCTGACGATTCAGCCATTAATGCAAATCAAACAACAAAAGGCAGAGAAAATCACTCACAGCTTTTGAATGAGTAACTTTAGATTTAATAAGCATTAATCTCTCTATGATAAACTATACAGTGCTATTTTATATTTGATTACTAAATTAGGTTTCTTTTCAGACAGAAACAATTACCTGAAAAGATTAGTACACCTTCCTGAAATTAAAGCACTTTGTATTTAATTTGTATCTTTGATTAATTGTATTCTTGTGTTTGTACTTGTTTTTTTTTTCTTATGTGTCCTTTTTGTATATAAAACAAAAAAAAGCCTGCACATTGCTGCATAACAAAAAGATATTTTTCTTCGTTTTGCTTTTTCTATTTTACATTTCAAAATATAGAGTTTAATACCTTAACGATACCCATCCCTAGTAATAAATCAACACACCAGAGGACACTACTCGCTCCTGTTGCTTTTTGTATAACAGGACTGCATTTTTAGGATTAGCAAATACACACAATATAGTCACACGCCATACACGCTAATAGGGCATTGAGCAAATTCTAGTGATAGTATTTGAATAATACATATGTAGGTGATAGTTTTTCTCTTCAGATGCTCCATTACTTCAAACACTAATCTAGCCTAATTCTAAATTTGAAGCTTGACAAAACGGCACAAAGAAAATGTGTAAAATATGTGCAATATTTATTTGTCACTTGTCAGATCAACATTACACTTTCAGGGCTGCCAAATTCTCACGCAATTGATACTTAATTTTCACACCATCTCACGCCACACATGGTGCATTCACACCAGATCCGAATAGAGCGTCTGGCGCGAGTGATTTCAATATTTAGTCAATGCAGAGATGCGTTACGCGCGTAAAAAAATCATGCAGCGTGAATGAGGCTCAATACGCGATTGGCGCGAATTGATGCGGGTATGATTTTATTAAGTGCTTTTTGTGAATTCGCGCCTGCCGCCCGAGTTGAAAAATCTGAACTTTGGCATATAATTCGCGCCGTGTTAACCAATCAGGAGCCCAGCTGCTTGCTGCTGTCACATGGTGGTGTGGTTCTAATGCACAACAAAAGCAAATACTTTATCACATAAAACTTGATTTCAATATAATGAGACACATTCATTTTGTATTGAATGCTATTTATTCCATATCTAGATTCCATATCTCTCCAATAGGGAACAGTTCGACACCTTTAGAGATTTTCACCAGCTGTTAGCCATAATCATAAAAATATTTCCATAATTCTCACTCCAAGCTAAACTCAAAAGTTGGCAGCCCTGATTTAACCATTTAGAGCTTAATTAAGTTACCGAATAAGTTTTACTCAGTTTGTAAAAATAGACCAATGTCTAATTTCCCTCCTTTTGCTATATTTAAAGAGATAGCTCTCCCAGAAATAAAAATTCTGTCATAATTTCCTCACTCTTATGTCATTCCAAAGCTGTTGAACTTGCCTTCTTCTTTGAATCATAAAAGATGATGTTTTGAGAAATGGCTCAATGTTTTTTTTTTTTATCAATACAATGAAAGTTATCAGTAAACGAAACTGTTTGGTTCCCAATATTCTTCAAAATATCTTCTTTTGTGGTCTTCAGAAGAAAAAGGAACATAAGGGTGAGTAAATTACATTTTTTTAGGTGAATTTACCATTCTTAGCTGGTATTTTATGGATCCTTGGTACTGCCCCAACTGCTGTATTTTTAGAGTATTTGTGTCTGTGAAAGAGGAAGCAAGAAAGCCCATGTTTAACTGTCTTTATGCAAACGATTAATTGGCATGTTTATCAATCTGCACCATCTCTCTAAATTAAACTCTTCTTTTCCACCCACCCACTATCAGTCCGACCTGTTTCAAGGGGATCTGTACCCGGATACGGCGGGATTAGAACCCGCTCTATTGGCGGAAGATTGGATAGCAGGACAAGATGCCGCTCCAGTCCTTGTTTCCCTCAGCGGAGGCTACATGGCCCCTCCAACCAAAGCCGGCACGCTGCGGGGTCGACCCAAACTGCTCTCTCAGACCAACACTAGTCCCACCAGCACTACTGCGCCAGCAAACCCTATGGCGGTTGAGATGGAGAGCGAGGCTCCGGGCCACGGGCGAGGAGGAAGGGATGTAGATGGTGGGATAGAGAGAGTAAAGAAAGAGGTGAGTGACAATTGTGACGAGGTTCAGAGAAATGAGGAGATTGGTTGGCTGAGGTGGACTACATTATTGTACATTTTGTGTCTGTGCTTCAACGAAAGCAGTGCATTAAAGGGATCGTTCACTTTGAATTTAATTTTTGATATGTTTTAGTTTACCTCAAGGGCATCCAAGATGTAGGTGTCTTTATTTCCGCAGTAGTTTCAATTTTGATATTTTTAGGTCAAACCGTTTGTGTCTATCAGTCATATAATGGAGGTCTATGGGGTCCACCTCAAAGAGCATGCACAGAGAAGTCTAAATTAAACATGATTCAATGACTCGTAAATGTACACACTGATGGCCTAAGACACGAAACGAGCGGTTTGTGTGAGGAAGCGAACTGTATTTATATCGTTTTTACCTCTTGTAACCACAGCCACGTCCAAGTGATCTGAGGGCGCGTGCGCTTTGTGGCTGTGGTTACAAGAGGTGAAAACGATATAAATACTGTTCGTTTTCTCACACAAACCGCTCGTTTCGTGTCTTAGGCCATCAATGTGTACTCACATTTACGAGTCATTAAATCATGTTTAATTTAGACTTCTCTGTGTATGCTCTTTGAGGTGGACCCCATAGACCGCCATTATATGACTGACAGACAAGAAAGGTTTGACCTAAAAATATCAAAATTGAAAATACTGTGGAAACAAAGACAACTACATCTTGGATGCACTTGAGTTAAGCTACAACATATCAAAAAATAATTTCAAAGTGAACTATCCCTTTAATATAGTTAGAACTACCTGTGCAATTAAACGATTTGAACCATAGACTTTAAAAAAATATGGACCTAGTGTCCGTGATAAGTTTCTGAAAAGCGTTTTTTAAGCCCAAAGTGGGCGGAGCCAGTCGTCGCCATCTTGGCAGCGCATCACCGGATTACCGAAAATTGTCAAAAAGGCGGGATTAGCTGAGGTGACGTTACAGCAGACAAACGGCTGGTAGTGACAGCAGCGGCAATCCACCTGTCACTCAAGTGGCCACGCCCTTAATTATGCAGAACTTTAAGGCTTATTATAATTAAACTGATGATTTATAAAAAAAATCATGGGATTGACTCTCTTTTGCAGCCAGTCTCTAGCGGCCAGTCGAACTGCAGTTTAATCACTTCTGTCTCGGTTTCAAGAGAGAGACTGGAAGGTTGCCACTTGGTTTGAACACACACCTTCCAGCTAATCAGAATCGGTTTCTGACACACCGTGGTATAATATATTTATAACATAGTATGTCATTGTATTAATTAGCAATGAGGGTTTTAGAATAGCTGTTTTTGATTCGACGATTCGATTCGGGTTTGTCCATATTTGACCAAATTTGGTTTGAAACAACCCAGCATTTTTTAGAGTGAGGGTCAAAGTGGATGTTATTCATGGGCAACCAATGAAGACCATAGACTGGCATTATGCAAATTAGTTGCTGACGGCTCGTTTCGGCAGTTCAGAATCGAATCTTTCTGTAAGGAGACAATTTTTTTTTTGTTGTGCACTTTGCAGACCTTTTACAATCACAAACACCTGTATTTACACACTGCATGGAATGGTAACACTGAGAAAAAAGGATAATAGGGGCGCTTTAAAGCCTAAATGTTAATGTCCCATTTTTGTTGTTTTTTCCTTCTTGCACAGGAGGACCAGCTTTCTGATATCCTGACGGAGGTGCGGGCTTTACGCGCTCTGGTTCTGGCTCAGGGTCACAGGATTGACGTTCTGGAAAGGCAACTCGCCCGCATTGAGGATGGAGAAGTGTGAAGGAAACTACAAACATATCACACAACACATAGCCTTACCCACATTCAAAAAGCTTCACTGAAGAGTTATGGGAAATGTAGTTCCGTTACTGTGACATAGTAATACAAAGAAATGATTGAGCTTTGAGCTTTATTGGTACATTTTTGGCTATTGATGCACTGATTTATAATATCCTAAATGCTGCTCATTTTGTGCTTTTACTAGGGCTGTTAATGCTAAGTACAGACTCTGAAGTCAGAATTTGGTTGGGTCAATATTTGCATGAACATGCAAACTTGAAATGAAAAGCAGACTTGGGGATTAGCGTGTAGTGTGCATTAAGAAAGCATTTATGAATGCTTCTGCTTAATGAAAGTAGTTTGAAGCATGAAACCTTCAGGAAATGTATTAATCCAACATGCTGAATTAATTCCTTTCTTCCGCTAAAGTTTGATGGTGCTTATAAACATGCATAGACCAGAAGCACTGTTCTTGGGTTTCTTTCTTCCAATTTATGTCTTAACACTTGTAGCATTTATTTTGGATGTGGTTAGAGTTTCATGTGTGGAAATGTGTGTAGCATGTGATAGAAACTGTACTTGTTGTTGAAGGAACTTGTGAGCTATCGATATAATGAAGAAGAGTGTCAGAAAATACTGATGAAGATCTTGTAGGATGAAAAGTTCATATTTCAGGTCAGGTCATATTTCACTCCAAAATATTTTGTTGACATTTTCAACTTTTTTTTTAAAGCACACATTCTGCATTTTGTAATTGTTTACCTATTGTTTTTTTTTCTTCTTCTTTCAATTCCTATTTTTGGGAATTAACTGATTTTACAGTAATCATTTTCCATAATACACTCAAAACATATTGTAAAAAAAAAAATTATTTTACATATAAATCAGACTAAATTTACGGCAGTACGTCAAGTACAACCATGAGAATATTTGATTTCATTATGGTAATGCAAAACGTGCTTAACTGTCATATTTCTTTTGATTTGGAGAGACCTGGCAGGTTTGTTGATTATTGAGCCTCTTGATGAATAACTGTGTTTCATTCCTGTTTGATTGAATATGAAAAACACTAGTAGAATGTGACATTGATTTAGAGATTTAGATGGTGGTGATTTTGTATTTGTTTTATTTTTAGTTTGTAATCATGGGCACTACAATCAGGGATGATGGAAACGACTCATCCTCCTCTGTGAATGACTTTATGTAGCTTTATCTGTTGTATATGTTGTAAATGATCTAAGTATCCATTTACTTAAAACTTAAGTGCTAACTTAATCTGTTCTTTTTAATAAATGACATTCCCCCTTATCTACTGTGTTTCAGTTGGTTTTATTATTTATCGCATTACAAGCACTTACAGATTGTACCAGCTGGCCTGTGACTGAGGTCAAAACGAACATTGTTGGTGCTACTTTTAGAAAAGAAAGTGAACTAGCTTAGCGGTGCTAAACAGTGATTTCCCCTGTAAACTAGGAAGTAGTTAAGGTTATCAGGGTGAATTTAAAAACATGTGCAGTGACATTAGAAAACTGATTTGAGGAATAGCTCTGGCTATAGTCAGGGAGCCAAGAAAGTCTCAAAAATGGGTTGAACCTGACATCTGCCATACTTTTTATTTGTGTTTTTCTGTTAGCTTTGACCCTAAGCACAAATAATTGGAGGGTTTGCTCTGCCAGAAATATCGCGGGGGAAAAATCTGGAAATTTTAGTGTATGCACCCTTTTTTTATCAGAAAAATGTGAAAAAAAAATCATCAAATCCTTAGTGGGTTGGGTAAGTTGTCAATAAATGCAGATACACAGAACACATGTGCTGATAACATCCACTTAAAAAAAAATCTTAACTCTTAAAGCACATTTCTACATGATTTTGCATCAACCTAAGTCAGACTTTTACCATGACTGTTCCCTGCTGGTGGAATGATCTGCCTAACTCAACCAGAGCTGCTGAGTCAGTAGCCACTTTCAAGAAACTGCTGAAGACGTATCTTTTTTGGCAGCACTTGATTCAGTAGTGCTAACACTTTCTCTTCTCTTCTTTGTAAAAAAAAAATGCTCTAAAATTAAACTGAGAGGGGTTAGCACTTATGTATTGTTGTCATACTGTTAGGGCCTAGTTTTACTGCTTCTATTGTTCTCATTTGTACGTCGCTTTGGATAAAAACGTCTGCTAAATTAATAAATGTAAATGCAATGTAATGCAAAAAAAAAAAATACAAATAAATTTTAAAAATAGACGTTTTCTCACTTTTCCCCAATATTTTCATCTTTACTTATTGGCAACTATTCCCCTAAGTTATGACATCAGTCAATATGCCATTCTTAACCAAACATACTCATTCCACGGGAAATTAAAAAAAAAAATCCAACCAAAATCAATGGATCTGTGATGATTTCACTACTAGTCGATCAACAGGCTCAGAACTTCAATAGAATTTTAGACTACTCTCAAAATTCTTAAAACATGCTGTATATTTAGCATCATGGCACAGCTAAGTAAACTAAACGATCTTAGTAATTTTAATGAGTTTGGAACAACCAACCAACGGACTTCGAAGCTGCTCATCATTGTTTGTGGTAAGTGACAGTGACTTTAGTGAATCACTTATGGTAAGTCTGCCTCAACGTTTTGGCAAAATAATGGTAATATGGATATTGTAATAGTAGTTAACTGAAAAGACCACGGCAGTACAAGTATATTTCTGTTGATTCCTCATCCCAAATGTAACGTTATCACTGTAGAAGCAGCATACTCTACTAGTTTCCTCAGCTAGCTTTAGCCGTTTTAGCTAATTTCGGTGGCCACAACTCTTCACAGGTAGAGACTTTAGTGCTACTTTTTTTTAATGCTCAGAATCTTATGCTCTAAGAGAGGTATGTGTCTTATATCTTATGTCCATTTGCCGAAAATTTCAACTTGACTTAGGTAAAGAAATAGACATGAGAATAAATGCTACAGGCTACTTTTGTAGGGAGAAATCATTGGAAATACACCTTTATGACGGCTGGTGTGGTCCTTGAAGTGTTTTTAATGTCAGACAGGTAGTAGGCTAGATAACTAAAAACCAAGAAACATGATTGTTGTGCATTTAAGCCAGATTTGGCCTGCATCTTGATCGCAGCCCTCAACTGTAAGAACTGAGGCGTTTCTAAAAAAAGGTGCTTTTTCGTGCTGTTGTGTTATAACCACACTCTGCATCGAGCCTTTTGCGGCATTATCTGCACTGCACGAGCAGTGAAGCATTCATGCTTTCATGGTTCATAGCATCTTTAAGCTCGAGCTTTACAACAGGATGTGGTGTGAGAGAGACTTGTGTCTCACAATCTAGCTAAAGGAAACTGTGTTCCACTGAGCTCTTCCTGTGTGTGGACTCCTTATGTAAATTATTCTATGCTTTCATTTGAATATTTTATTTTCATTATAAAATGTGCATATTTTTAATTAGGAGTTTCTAATCAACTAATCATGTATCATGTTGTTAAACAAGAAAACAAGCCAAATGCATTATTTTTGAATACCTATGCATTATTCTTTATTACTTTTACCTCAAAACTGCCCACTACAAACTGCTTTAATTTTCCCATAAATAAATGAAATATATATATTTTTTATATTTTTAAATCCATTGTTTAGAATTGACATTTTGCAAGTCAAGATTCTTGACATGACCTTATTGCATAAAAAACTGATACTTTTTAATTGCGTCTCTCTCTCTCTCTCTGTCTCTCTCTCTCTCTCTCTCTCTCTCTCTCTCTCTCTCTCTCTCTCTCTCTATCTCTCTCTATCTCTCTCTCTCTCTCTCTCTCTCTCTCTCTCTCTCTCTCTCTCTCTCTTCTATCTCTCTCTCTCTCTCTCTCTCTCTCTCTCTCTCTCTCTCTCTCTCTCTCTCTCTGTCTCTCTCTCTCTCTCTCTCTCTCTCTCCGCCCCTCTTTCCTGCCTATATGACCAAGACAAATTTGAATTCTCTATTTTATTCTCGCATGGGCTATGGGTTTAAGGACAGTTGAGTAAAGGTGAGTTATTTCAATTTTTGTGTGGCTTGTGCTGAATTTGATTTGACAATATTTATGAACAGTGATTACTGTATTCAAAAATGTATTTTTTACATATTTTATTATACTAAGCTATATATAGGCTATGTATCTGTATTCACTCTGTATTGTAAATAAGAAGTATAGCATATCATGTGTGAGTTTTAATAAACATGTAATACAGGTTGTTTCAAAAGCAAAACTTAATTAGTTAATTTTCTTCGAGCATTTGCCATTTCAAGTAAATTGGCACATGGTTTTGGCAGGCTAACTCATTACACATTGCAAGTAAATTGCTGTTATCCACTGGGTCCGTATTTACACAGCTGCATTAGCACAACTTGTGAATTGCTGTTAAGTGCTATTAAGTGTTTGAAACTCATTTATTTAGATGTGTATTAATAACCCGTGTTTGGGTGTGTAAGTGTGTCAAAGAGGAATTCATTAAAAATAAATCTTTTGCAAAGAAATTACGAAAAGCTGAAGTGATTTCCTGACATCTTAAAAAAAAAAGAAATACAAGCATGCTTACTTCCGTGCAACTGCACTTCAGAATAGAGCATGGTGGGAGGATGGTGTTTGTGTGGGCAAAAAGCCACAGTTTATCACAGTCTATATGGAACATGTTGCAAGTTGCTAAAGCTTATGAACACTATATATTCTATTCTATATTCTATATACTCTCTATACATTCTTGTGCTGATTACAATTTTTTTTTAAACTTTTATAATATATTTCTATTTAAGTTTTTAAATAAAACTTAAATATATATATATATATATATAGGCTATTTGAATTAAAAAAAAGTTTTTGAAAGAAGTCTCTTATGCTCACCAAGACTGCATTTATTTAATACAAAATACATTTAAAAACTGTTATATTGTAAAATATTATTACAATTTATTTGAATATATTTTAAAATGCAATTTATTCATGTGATGTCAAAGCTTAAAGGGATACTCCACTTCTTTTTTTTTTTTGGAAACAGGCTCATTTTACCACTCCCCCAGAGTTAAACATTTGAGTTTTACTGTTTTCAAATCCATTTAGCCAATTTTGGGATATAGAAGAATATCAGTAACCAGACAGTTTCTGGTCTCATTGACTTCCATAGTAGGAGAAAATATATACTTATCCCTTTAAATTTTTGCAGCCTTAATTACTCCAGTCTTCAGTGTCACATGATCCTCAATGAATTATTCTAAAATACGCTAAATTGGTGCTTAACTATTATCAGTTAATGGTGCTTTTAAAAAACTGCTTTTTAAGACACTGTTCACATGACACCTGTAGTCTACTAAAAACTGAAAAGTACGCTGTATTATTCATGTCAGGCCAGTAGTTGGCGATGTCACTTTGTAAAGAAAAACTATATGGACTATTTATAAACTGCAGCATGCACATGACGTCACTGTTTTCACAAATTCGTACTTTTACAGTGTACACAGAGACGAGAACGAAATTGTTTTCAAAAACTTGAAATAGACCATTATCATTGTTGTAAATGGGTTTTACTGCTTAATAGAATGTTTGTGGAAATCGTGATACATTTTTTTAGTAATAGAAATTTGAAAAGAACAGCATTAAATTTGAAATATAAATCGCTTGTAACACTGTAAATGTCTTTAAAGTTACTTTTTGAGCAGTTTAAAGGTAAAAAAAAAACTATATATATATTAGGGCTGTCAAACGATTAATCATGATTAATCGCATCCAAAATAAAAATTTGTGTTTACATAATATATGTGGGTGCACTGTGTATAATTATTTATATATATATAAATGCACACACATGCTTGTATAATATTTTCATGTATATAGGCTACTATTTATATGATATATTAATATTTTATATATAAATCATATTTTTTTTCTTAAATATACATGCATGTGTGTGTATTTATATTTATACAAAATAATTATACACAGTGCACCCACATATATATATATATATATTATGTAAACACAAACTTTTATTTTGGATGCGATTAATCACGATTAATCGTTTGACAGCCCTAATATATAATATATATTTTTATTTTTATTTATTTTTTATCGCACTTAACCCAAACTTGAGGACTGGAGAGATGGCTGCTGAAAATTTAGCTTTTTCCATCACAGGAATAAATTGGAATATTTAAAAATATATTCAAATAGAAAACAGATCTTTTAAATTGTAATAATATTTCTCAATATTACTGTGCTTTCTGTATTTTTCATCCAATAAATGCAGCCTTGGTGAGTATTTTACCATTGAAAACATTAAAAAATCTTTACTATTACTAGCTTTTGACATGCAGTTCAAATAAATTATATACATTTGGTTCATTTATTTCATGAATTCTCCCTGTTCTCTTTTTAGTCATGGTATCACAGACATCGAGTTATGACAGCACTGCAACTGTCCTTATCCTCCTCTTCATATTAATCTTACTTGCTCTGGCACTGGTGTATTTTTACAAAAGACTCAATGTGGACACAAATGGGCAGTACACCGTCCAGAACATCGTCTTCGCCCCTGGTGGCCTACGGGATCGCGTGAGACAAGGAGTTGGGGTTGTGGAAAACAGATTTGGTGTCCACATTTGGCCTGAACCCCGTGAGGATGAGGAGAACATGGGAGATTTTGACGAAGAGGAGGGTGGAGGTCATGACAAACAAAACGACAGTTACACAGAGGGAGAACAGCAGGAAAATGATGACGGTGGGGGCGATTCTTCCAGTGACTATTCCAGCGTTGACCTGAGGGAGAGGGCTAAGACGCAGGCGGAGGAAACGAAAAGCGAGAAGAGTGAAGCTGAGGAAGAGAAGAAGGAGGAGGAAAAGGAGGAGGCAGCAGGAGGAGATGAGAATGAATGTGGGGAAAAGAGGAACGAAGAAAAAGTGGGATTGCTCGTAGATCTAACGCCATTTTCAGGTAGCGCAATTTGGTCTGGGCCTGAGGAGGACAAAGTTGGAAATGAGGGAATTGACTTGACTGCGTTATGAAAAGCACGGAAACATGGCGTGCGAATTTAATTGGTGGGAAATCAGGTGACTGGCCAGGGGACGGCACAAAAAAGTGATACAAATTTAGATTCAGTTGAACACTGCAAATGACATAAAGATCCCATGGAACAGTTCATTGAACCGTAAGACAAAATGTTTAAAATCAAACAGTTTTTTTTTTTTTTTTTTTTTGCTGAGCATCATATTTGATCATATTTTTCTAAAACAATTACGTTTGGATTAAAATTTCATCTTGAAATATTACCAAAAATATAACGGTTTTTGTTACGTCTACTTAATAAAAATCAGCAGCAAAAACACATGACGCGTCCTGACGTATTGTTCTACTTGTTAAAAAAGTATAAAGCATCGATTAGACGAAAGAAGACAATTTTGAATGTTTACTACTCATATTCCAGCAAAGTTTTGATTGGTTAAGTTAGTAAGAAGTTTCCGTATCAAATGTAACAGTCTTTTACACCCTTTCTGCAAGTTGTTTGTTCTATTCACTTCCTGCTGTTTTTTTCTGCCAATGCTGACAGTGTGTGAAAATACATTGTGAAACTTGTTAACATTTTTAAGAGATGTACATATTTTTGCATTACAGAATATTTTTCATGTCAATAAAATGATTTTCAGAATTGTTGAGTATTTTAATATCTAGCCAGCCACTAGTGTAAATCTCACAAAATCTGTCAAGAACATGTTTAGAATAGCTATAATTAACCCCAAAATAAGAAGAAATCATATTTTTTTTTAAAGAAAATTCAAGTCTACATGAAAAAAAAAGTTGTGATGGTCATTTCTTCCATATTGTGATTTATATCCCAGTGAAATGGACAGGACACACAAAAAAACAAACAAACGTTGGACTGTACTTGATTTGTCCAAGGGGAATTGATTGGGTGGTTGTGGTTTGCTATTGGTCGATCTCATGTGAGCGACAGGTTTGTCCCGCCCTCATGCCGGTAAATACATCATCAGAGAAGAGAAGAGAAGAGATGTTGTCGCTGCAAGAGGTGAAGATATTTTAATTAAAGATTAGAAGGGCACATGAATTAAATATAAGTACACATGGATAAATAATTTATATTAAACACTCCAATATTCCAGGAAAATAAGAGTTGTCCATTCTGATTTCATGGTGACTTTAAAATGTGAATTGTGACATTACCTTTGCCACAATGTAGCATTAGGGCACTAAACCACCAACCATAATGAGGTTATAGCTGTGAAACCACATCTCTTATCATGGTTGGACATTTTGAGCAAGGTTTTCTTGGCTTGGGTCAAGATGACAATGATAAGGAATGTAATAATAGTGTTAACTAGATTAAGAAAAGTTTGACAAGACAAAGCCTGAAAAGCCTAGCCTGAACCTTTTTTAATAGCTTCAACAAACAGACTGACAGACAGACAGACAGATAGATAGATAGATAGATAGATAGATAGATAGATAGATAGATAGATAGATAGATAGATAGATAGATAGATACACTATTTTACTCAATAAAGTGACGTTTCAGTTATAGGCCTAAAGTTTAATTGTGTTTTAAGAATTATTATTGTTTTAGTGAACTCGAATAAAATAAGTTCAGAGTACTCATAACTATTGTTTTTATAAACTTAAATGAATTGAGGCAATCGGTTTCAAATGAAATGAGTTAGCTTAACTTGTTGGGTTTTACAGTGAGATGATAGATAAGAAATGTTAGATAGATAGATAGATAGATAGATAGATAGATAGATAGATAGATAGATAGATAGATAGATAGATAGATAGATAGATAGATAGATAGATAGATAGATAGATAGATAGATAGATAGATAGATAGATAGATAGATAGATAGATAGGACATTTTAGATAGAACGGAGGTTTAAATGAGTCTCAATGGCTTAGAAATAATAAATTGTATAAAATAGCTGGTCAATCTAATTAGCCTCTCCAACTATTTAAATTTTAACTCCTGCAAAGTTTAGTTTCAGGTCGAATTAGACATGTGTGAACCAGCTAGTTAACATTTTTCATCTTAACTCGATGGAACCGGGTTTGAACAAAACCACAGAAGAATACAGAACGTAATTTGTTGAAACAAATACCGCTAACATTGACATCAGCCATTGACATCAATTATATACGTTCACAGTCATAGCCTGTATTTCCTGCTTCTCTGTACGGACGGGGATGTAGCTCAGTGGTAGAGCGCATGCTTCGCATGTATGAGGTCCCGGGTTCAATCCCCGGCATCTCCACTTACTTTTTTTTCCTTTCAAGTAAACAATATTCTTTCAAGTAAACACAAGACATCCTAAAATTCTTTGCGACGATAGTCGCTGAGTTTACAGATTTTATATCTGTAGAAAAGCATCGAATGCACGTACGTTTCTGAAGATTTTAGGAGGAGACACTTGAGTCGGAAGTTGCACTCCTGCGCAGACCATTGGTCGGTTAAACGTCAGTGGGCGTCGTAAACGCCACGCCATTGGCCAGTTTAGCCCCCAGTGGGCGTGGCCACAGACAGAGTCACGCAAACAATCGAAGAATCCTGCACATTCCTTACTAGAATATGAATAACATTTAAATGTCTTTCCGTGGCAGGAGGTAAAACGAGGCATGCCGTTTAAGAGATCTTTAATCGCGCTTTGCGTCGACTGTGCATTTTAAAGTAAAACAATGCAATTATTCGATTCGCCTCTTCCTCTGTGAAAAAAATCTGGGACTATTGTTACATCGCACGGATACTTTTTTGCTCAAGTTAAGATGGATTCGCCCAAGGAATTACCTCCTTCTTCAATGATTTGAATGCAAACGAACGATCTCTTATTGGTGAGTGCTTGCATGCTTTATTTCGTCGGATTTGGGAGATAACGGGCCTTTTGCTTTTGCATTTTGCACGTTCAGTTGGAAAATATGGGTTGCGAACATGTTATAATTGACAGATAAAACAAGTAACTGAGCCACCATGACTAAATGAACCGCTGCCATTTTATATTAAAGAGAATGAATGTTATGGTGACGAACAGAATTCAACATCTGCCTTGCATTTTTCTTAATTAGAGAATGGACATTTTAAGGATGCAATGGAAGAAATGCGTTACTAAAATGTCTTGCATGTAAGATTCCACACACAACAGTCTGTGGCAAGCGGCTTTAACATTTAGTGTCTAACATTTAAACGGTCTATAAATTTTGTTACTACTACTTTTATTAGATACATTTTATTATCTTCTGTTTCTGTACTTCTGTTTCTTTTTCGGTATATCTAAGCCTACTGTTATAGTACCATCGCCGAGGGGCTAATCATTGTTCAATACAATAAATTGCAGATTTTTGCTATTGAATTTGTATTTGTATATGATTCAGGCTTTGATTATTTACTATTCACTGACTATATTATTTCAATTATTGCTTGGGCCAATTACACTGTTTTTCTTTGTTTTGTTTAATTCAATAGACACAAACACAGTTATTAGAGGCTAAATTAAGTTTAATTAATTGTAAGAGAATTGGACCTTTTAGGTTATGGTCCAATTCTCAGTATTTCTATTAACTATGATCTACGCCTCAATAAACTATTATTTACAGCTTATTAATATTTAGTATAGGGCTGTCAAATGATTAATCGCATCCAAAATAAAAGTTTGTGTTCACATAATATATGTGGGTGCACTGTGTATAATTATTTTGTATATTTAAAAATACACACACATGTATGTATATTTAAGAAAATAATATTATTTATATAAAAAAAATATTTATATTTCTATAAACTATACATTAATACAGTATATGAAAATAGTTTTTAAATATATACAAGCATGTGTGCGTATATATATATATATATATATATATATATATATATATATATATAATAATTACACACAGTGCATCCACATATATTATGTGAACATAAACTTTTATTTTGGATACAATTAATCGCGATTAATCGTTTGACAGCCCTAATAGTTAGTATGGTAGTTGTTTGGTTTAGGTATTGGGTAGGATTTAGGGATGTAGAATATGCAGAATAATTATTATATGCTTTATGAATACTAATAACTGACAATATCAGGGTAAATTCATGCTAAAAAGTTACCAGTTAACAGTGAGAATTGTACCCTAAACTAGCGTGTTACCATAGTCTCTTAAATGGGTACCAGTATCACGTAAATACATAAGTAGAGCTGGAATACTAGTAATGATACTGGCAATTAGACTACAAATAATGCTATTAGTGATATTGAAAAAGGTACTTGCAAGTCACTATTAGGTTACTCACAACAAGTAATCGAAAAAGGTGCACTAGAAACATCAAGAAGACACTAGTTAGTTTAAAGGACTAAATGCTTAGTTGGCTTGCCACAGCATGCTGCATAACATTCCCTTTGTGGTCAAATGCATCGCTTGCTTCTAAACGCACCTGTGCTGTGCACGGGAATTAATCGCTGCAAAATAATGAACTGAGTCAAGACACATTCAGACGTCATTATTGTGGACGTGACTTTATTTTTCTTCGCGTAGGTATGAGATGTTGTTAGCCTCGGCCGTGGTCGTCTGGGAATGGCTGAACGAGCACGGGCGCTGGCGACCCTACAGCCCGGCGGTGTCCCATCATATCGAGGCGGTGATCCGCAGCGACCCTCGCGGCGCCGGGAGCGTGGTGCTGGGCCAGGTCGACTCGCGTCTATCGCCGTACATCATTGACCTGCAGTCTATGCACCAGTTTCGGCAAGATACCGGTGAGAGAACGATATCCTACATCATTTTTTATCATCTTCTTGCTCATCTATTGTGTTTTATTAATAAGGTGCATTTGCTCTGAGATCAAACAAATGCGCAAATGAACTCAGATTTGTATTGTGATGACTTGAAGGCAAAGGTCTGCAGATGTTTTGAAAGCTCACCGTGGTATAAAAAAGGTTGGGCTGGGCCTCAAAACCTTCATTTCAGCAACCACAACCTCTTCATTTTTCTCCAGTCAGATCACTGATATAGTTTAAAGCTTCATGTTTTTAATTCACACTTGTTTATGTCTCATTCAAGTGGCTCTGCCATGAACTCCTAATGATTTTTGTCAATGCACATGAGTGCTTTGCCGGTGAGAATGAAGGAATTGGTTGAACCTATAACAAGGGGCAACGTGAAGCCGAAACAAAGGGGTGGATTGTTGGCTGTCAGATTTTTGGGAGTCTCTATCACCCATCCTGACAAAGGCCATTGTGCAAGACTGACTAGACTTCATGGGAAGATGGAGGAATGGAGAGAATAGGGTCGACGAAGGGTAGCGGCCCATCGCTCCAAAAACATGAGGGAGGAGGAGATGCAAAAATGAATGGTAGTAGAGCGAGGTCATGAAGGGGGGTCTGATGGATAACCTTTGTGTTGCAGTTTATGCACTGTCAAATTCTTGAGACTAATTGTACTAACGCATAGTTTTGCTGCAAACGATTACATTTGTGTAGTTGGTTAATTGTACTTTTTAGGCTGTTATGTTCTCAGGTGATAAATTAAAACAGTTATAGTAAAGTTTTTTGGAAACCAGACACATCTCAATATTTCAGCTGAACAAACTGTGCATATTTCATCTCTAGCATACATTTTTCGTCACATTGAAGTGCATAAACACTAGTACTGGTATTTTGTTGCTTTTCCTCATTGTGTACACAAAATAAACACTGACACAGTCAAAACACATCATTGGAGAACTGAAGCACAAATTAAACGTCACGACACAAACTCTTTTGGCTGTGCAACACTAACATATGTACATGTTTGCATTCTTTCTCTCCCAGGTGGATCAATTAATATAGATGACTCATCTTGTACACGCATATATTTTTTGTTGTTGTCCCATAATAAGTTCTTAGAGCTGAGAGCCCCTTTCCCTTTAAATTATAAATAACACGTGCCTCTAGAAATAGAAGGTAAAAACAATCATCTGTGATTGTTGAGTCATCTGTGTATGATGTGCTATAATACTGATTTTTTTAATGTATTTCTACATTAATTAATTGTAATTTAGTAAAAAAAAAATTCTCAGTTATTTTTATTATAATTTTCCAACTAAATCACTTACATGAATACAATTTGTATATGTATGAATGTAATAAAAAAAAAACCCTGCACACACTTGAAGTAATAAATAAAAATATATCAAATCAGGCATTATGAGAGCTGTACACATTTACTTATTGTAATAATTAATAAAAAGTTGCCAAATTGAGTAAAATGTTTGTTCTTTCTTCCTGAAAGAATTTTTAATCTTTTCCAATTGTAAATATTGCATTACGTCTCAAAGACTATGCTTAAATATAATAAATAATTATATTATTGTTAATGAATAAAATTATTAATAACATTTTAATAATAGACGATTGGCTAAGTAAATCACCCAGAAATAATGTCTCAGGCATCTTCAGAACACAAACAATGATATTTTTGATATACTCTTTTAAAAATATTCTTTATTTAATTTAGTCTATCTATTGGAAATCCACACAACCAAAAAATATTTAAAAAAAAAACATTGTAAAAGTATTCCACATGAATCAAGCGGTTTAATCGCTTTAAACGATGAACAGATTTCATTTCAGCTATTATATGTAACACTGATCAACACACATGCATAGAGCTCACAATTAAAATATTAAAATGTAATCAGCCTATTAGCTTATTAATATCACCATTTGTGTACTGGAGATGAGCGGTAGTCTTATGGATTCCTGTTTCTTCCAGTTCAGATTATTTTTTTAATAAGAAATACATAAAAACAAGACTGTGCTCACCATGGACATTTTAAAGTGCACGATGCCGGTAGTTTTGCTAAACTAACCTCTCTGCTCTTCTTTACAGGTACACTAAGACCCGTGCGGCGAAGTTTCTACGACCCGCGGTCGGCCCCGGGGCAGGGTTGGGTGTGGGAATGGGAGAATGACTCGGGCTCATGGACGCCGTACGACACCGAGGTCAGCATCGCCATCCAGGCGGCTCGGGACCGGCAGCAGCCCTGGCTGGACTTAACGCCGTTGGGCTTCTGCTACCTTATAGACCTGCAGAGTATGACGCAGATCAACGGACAGACGCAACGGCGCCGGCGCATCCAGAGGCGCTCGGACCTGGCCTACCCGCTCGTCTCCGGCCCGCTGCCTAAGCCGCACGCGTGGTCGTCCGCTGGAAGTGGTGGACTCTTGGGAGTGGGCGTTTCAGGGGTTAGTGGAGGGAATGGCAGTGCCTATCCCAGTGGAGCTCTCCCGGCTTCTGCAATCACTTCACTTGGTCAGCCATGTTCCTGCCAGCAGTGTATGCTAGTCTTGGGCGTCAAGACCCCTAGCATGGCACAAACTCTCGGGCGGAAACCCCCGCCGGTACCCAAGCCGCCAAGCCCAAAGGCGCCAGCAAGGGGACACTCTTACTCTCTAACCCTGCCTCACCCTCCTTCCCTTTCCAGAGTCCTCTCGCCACATAGGAACTCCACCTCGGGTGCTAGCGGAGGCTTCGGACACTCCCTCTCTCTGCTGGGTTCAGCCACTGCTGCCCTGTCGATATCCTCTAACCGTCCTCCTCCACCTGCTGTACCGCCACCGCCGCCTCCTTCTGCAATACCCTACACGACCTCTGCGTCCAACCCTACAGCACCTACACCCTCCAACGCCCTTATATCTACAGTGACCACTTGCGCTCCCACGCCCTCTGCTCGTGTTCTGGGTCCTGTGTCTACGGCATCGGCAGCTTGTGCCGCCCCGGTGCCGCCGCGCAGTAGTCTGGCAGGCCTTAGCCGCCCCGCCCTGCAGAGAATCGCCATGGCACAGTCACGGGCACTTATTGCATCAGGGTAAGTTGTAACCACTGCAGTCACCTGTGATTGTAAATGAAATGAAAAGACAGGGGTTTGCCCTTTTATTTTACAGTGTAGCATTCAAAAGTCTGCAGTCAGTAAGTTTTTGCTGTTCCTTTGAATTCATCAGAGATCCCGAAAAAAAGAGATTTGTTTCCACATGTATATTTAAAGGGATAGTCCACCCCCAAAAAAGAATTACTCACCGTCATGTGATTCCAAACCCATAAGACTTTCGTTCATCTTCGGCACACAAATGAAGATATTTTTAATGAAATCTAAGAGCTTTCTGTCCCTCCATTGACAGCTACACAACTACCACTTTGATGATTGAAAAAGTTAAAGGGTTAGTTCACCCAAAAATGAAAATTAAGTCATTAATTACTCACCCCCATGCTGGACCAACCCCGTAAGACCTTTGTTCATCTTTGGAACACAAATAAAGATATTTTTGATTGAATCTGAGAGCTGGATCAGTCCTACATAGACTGCCTAAGGGACTGGCTCTTGACGGCCCATAAAGTCATTGAAGAAAAGGTTTAAATATTCCATGTGCATTAGGGGTGGGGGAAAAAATCGATTCTCGATGCATCGCGATGCGGACGTGGACGATCCTGAATCGATTCACAAATGTCAAAAAATCGATTTCAAAATTTTTTTTTTTTTTTGATATGTATTTATAATAACGTAATATTGACGGAACGCGAAAGACGGAACTCTGAAGCGCGGAAGTGCAGTGGCGGGACCGTCTGTGGCGTGCACATAACAGAGACCCGATGGAACGCGAGATCCAAACACTTTCCTTGTTAGGTTAAAAGCTGACGTGTGGAAATATTTTGGCTTCTGAAGTTGAAGGGGGAAAGGAGCTGGACGAGAGCCGCACTAGTTGTACGCTTTGTGGAATAAAACCAACGACGGAAACCCGACAAATATGATAAGCCATATGACACCTTTCCAGCCAGAGGATGAAAAACACTCGGCTGCACCAGTCGTTATATTATTTATTTACTACAAGTATGCTCCTAGTTCAAGACCACATTTATTTTCCTGGTCGTTCTTTGTAATGTTAATAAAATATATTGTGCATTAATTCTTTATGGGTCATTAATTTGTACTTTTAAAGCAAATTATTTATAGTCACACACAAAAGATTCAGATAATCGATTTGTAATATTATAAATGTCTTGTACTTTAACTTTTGATCAACTTAATTTATCCTTGATTAATAAAAGTATAGATTTCTTTTTTCTTTTGCCCAAAAAAATTAATAAAAATTTTTACCAACTCCAAACATTTGAACGGTATTGTTTAATGTTACAAAAGCTTTCTATTTCAGATAAACGCTGTTCTATTGAATTTCTAGGTGATTCTCTGAATCGGGTGCCCTTCAAGTCCCCCAAACTTGCTTCAAACATTTTCAATTAAAGGAAATCACAAAATACATTTTAATGCTGTCAATTAATAGAACCAGGTGCATTTGCATTATAATGCAACAAAATTGCTTTTGAAAAAAAAATGTAAAGTTAATAAATGTAAAGATAATGAGTTGCCTAAGTAGTAGATAACAAGCATGTTTGCATGTCCCCACTAACCATCATTATATTTTCAATGAATATCAAACAAATAAAAAGTGCAATTAATACCAAAATGTTGCTGCTGCTAATATAATCATATGTTGATCTAGTGTATTTTCGTTTACTGTTGTGAAATGGAAAATCAATAATCGGTAATCGAGAATCGTTAATAATCGAAAATCGACTGTAATCGAATCGGGACTTCAATAATCGTAATCGAATCGAATCGGGAAATCAGACAGATTAACCACCCCTAATGTGCATACAGCGGCTCAATTATAAGTTTATCAAGCGACGAGAATACTTTTTGTGCGAACATAAATAACGGCTTTATTCCACTATTCGTTTACTTCCTTATTGGCGCATGCGCGAGAACTGAGACGAGGACGTTCTTCTCCTTCGACTACTTTTTGTTACCGGCTGCTCCGCTTAGGAGTTTTACTGCCCCCTACCGTATAAGATGATGTGCTGATATAGCTGGAAGTGCAAAACTTTCTGTTTACAAGCAGAGGAAGATGCGCGCTGTACATACGCTTTTCAATTAGCGTATTTTCCGCACTATAAGGTGCACTTAAAAGCCTTTAATCTTCTCAAAAAACGACAGTGTTCCTTATAATCCGGAGCGCCTTATATATGGATCATCATTTTATACGGTTGGTGGCGGTAAAACTCCTAAGCGGAGCAGCCGGTAACAAAAAGTAGTCGAAGGAGAAGAACGTCCTCGTCTCAGTTCTCGCGCATGCCATGCGCCCATAAGGAAGTAATAGAATAGTCGAATTAAGTCGTTATTTATGTTTTTTTTCGCACAAAAGTAGTCTCGTCGCTTGATAAACGTATAATTGAGCCGCTGTAGGCACATGGAATATTTAAACCTTTTCTTTAATGACTTTATGGGCCGTCAAGAGCCAGTCCCTTTGGCATTCTATGTAGGACTGATCCAGCTCTCAGATTCAATCAAAAATATCTTTATTTGTGTTCCGAAGATGAACGAAGGTCTTACGGGGTTGGTACAGCATGGGGGTGAGTGATTAATGACTTAATTTTCATTTTTGGGTGAACTAACCCTTTAATAAAGAGATCGTAAAACCAATCCAATCGGAATTGAGCTGTTTAGTAAACATTGTCTGAAGAGACTTGGATCGCTTTGTGATGAACAGAGTGAATTAAGGCTTATTATCAGCAAACATAAACAGGAGCTCAAATGAACATGCTTGACGTGAGAGAACAAACCTCCTCGGTTCTTGCTGAAGCTCAAATGTGCTAACCTGGCCCTAGCCAGATGAATGTCGTTCCGCTTAGCTCCGCCTAGCTTCACTCGCATCCATCTGGAACCTCTTCCATTGAGAGTGATTTTTCCAACCAACTTTATGGCTTAGCCAATCAGGACGCAGGGCGGGAGACGTAGTGGAGAAGCGACCGTGAGACTGTTTTGATTCAGACAACAATGGCGGCTCGCATCGAGGAAGCAAGCGTTAACATTGATGCTGCTATTTCATCCGTGTTGTCCAATCTACCTAATATTGTTTCATTTAATATATTTTCTAATATTTCAGTTGCGTCGCTCTCATCAGCGTCACGGGTTGGCTTCGGTGTGAGTGGTTGAAATAGCACGTCGATAAAGATGACCGACAAGTGGCTTATCCAATCATATGCAAGGATTTTTGATAAGGCCCAGCCTTCTGAAACGCCATTTCGATGTATCGGTTCCAGATGGATGAGTGGAGCTAGGCGGAGCGAAATTCATCTGGCTAGGGCCAGGTTACAAATGTGCTGCGTAAAGCCTTGTTCATGATTTTAAAACGTCGGGCTGAACTGTGCGGTTCACACTACATGACTTGCTCTCAGTGAAATAAAGAGTGTTCAAGTTGTTGAGCTGTTCACACCACACAACACAACGCGATTGATACACAACAGGAGGTAACTCACTACACGAGTTGACAATAGAGATACAACCACGATCGGATGATAAGAGCAAATCATTTGTGGCTCAATGAGAGCTGTTTCAGTACTATGTTACGGTCTAAATCCTGAAAATAATCAAATAAATAACGAGTTGACAACATTTCTGTCACACAACGATTCTTTTTCGTCTACAAACCACGTTTTGTCACGAAAAACCACGAAATAAATAAATATTGCGCCAATACCCAGCGAAGAAGAGAACACAGCACGTGAATATGGGCGTCAGACAGAAACTAGTGCTAAACACTGTTTGCGCGACGATCTGCTCTGAGGAAAAAAAAGCAAAAAAAAAAGAAAAACTTAAATTTACCTGGTGTCCTCAACCCATGCGTTGCTATGATTGGCTGTACTCATGACATCACTGAAATTGAGTCGCGCGACGGCTCTGAATATCTAGCAGGCTAGATATTTTTCTGGGCTCAGCGACGCGTCTGCGAGCGTTTTCACTGCGTTGTTGGCTCTTTCATACTAACAGATTGGCAAGCGTTCATTGTCTGCTAATCCCCCGCGATTTGCACGCAATAACACCCTGACGACCACCCTTAAAATCCTGTAGTGTGAACTTGGCTTAACACGAGAATGAACCTCATTGGTTCTTGCTGATGCTCAATGTGATGCGTAACACGAGAATTAACCTCATTGGTTCTCTTGTTAAAGCTCAAACGTGCTGCGTAACACGAGAATGAACCTCATTGGTTCTCGCACGTCAAGCAATCAGGCCTGAGCTTCTGTTTACCACAACTGATATGTGAGTTGATCAGTGTTTAAATTTGAATAAAAGCCTAAATTCAATCTGTCCATCATATAAAGCGATTGTGTCTCCACAGAAAATTTGGACTAAACCGCTCAAATCATATGGATTTGTTTTACGATCTCTTTATAATCTTTTTGAAGCGTCAAAGTGGTAGTTGCGTAGCTGTCATTTAATTTTTAAATTTTAATCAAGTAAATGCAGCCATGGTAAGCAATAGCATAAGAGACTTTAAAATATTAGCATAAGAATAAGAGAAACGTTAAAATCTTACCGACCCCAAACTTTTGACTGGTAGTGTACTGTATAAGAACCCAATTGGCTACTGAATACCGCCGCCTAAAGGTGGTCACGTTGATGTGATTTGTCATGGGCGAAATCTAGTCATTTTAATAGAAACCCACGTGTTCGGGAGTTTTTTGGCTGAGGTTGAAAAAATTACCCCTGCAGATTTTGCTCTTCCTATTTGGTCTGCAAATTCACAGCATTGACCAACAGCTGCTTGGTTCGAAAGTGATCCCTGAGCTGTGCTTCCACTTCTTTTTTTTTTTTGCTCAAATTTCTCTAATGTTACCACACCTTAACTTACAAAACTCTTGTGAAGACCAAATTTTGTGCTTGCATCTCCTTAAATGTGAGATTTTTACATGTTTTTAGCTTGAATTCAGCCTCTGCTGCCTCAAATGTCAAAACCTTGACTTGTTAACAGA